TTTAACCTATGCTATATATACACATGAACGCATGCACACACACACACGCACACACACGCACACACACACACATCACAGTGGTGGTGGCAGTAAACGTGCTTGCCACCAAGCCCGACCACCTAAGTATGATTCCTGGAATTCACATGGTAGAAAGAGAGAACTGAGTCTCACAAGTTGTCCTCTTCTGACCTACACACACACAATAATAAATAAATGTTATTTGTAAACTTTAAATTATATATAAATATCTATATTTTAATATAGGCAGAAATCCAGTTGCCCTACTGAGCTTGGAGAAAGGGCTATGTAGCATCCACTTCCCCACTCCCCAACTCCTAGGTAAGAATCACTTGTTTCTTATTTTCTAAGAGAGGGTTTCTCTATGTAGTCCTGGCTGTCCTGGAACTCACTCTGTAGACCAGGTTATCCTTGAACTCACAGATCCACCTGCCTCTGCCTGGCCCACCAGCTAGCCACTGTCTGATCTTGCAGAAAAGTAACTTTTCCTGGAAGAGTCACTGTTTCTATGTCCTTTGACCTCTGTATGTCTGAGGCATCTGTTGTAGCAGTTAATCATGAAGTTTGTGTTTCTCTACCCTTTGCTTTTTTAAAAGGTTTTCTGCTATTCTGTAGCTCTTGAGATTTGAAGGGAATAGCTCTTTTTTTTAAAAAAAAAAAAAATCCCATCCTTTATGTTCTCTGACCTTTATGAACATCCCCAGCTAAACTCAAAGTCTGGCCCTAGTGTTTAATCAGGAAATGAACGTCAGTCAGCACCTTAGAGCCCCCAAAAGACGCCGTTATTCTGACTTCATTCCTTGGACAACATCTGTAGCCTTTCCCTGAGTAAGGAGGAACACTAGCCTCTGGAGAGGCCCTAGGAAGGATTTTTGCCTCCGTTCCTTGGGAATTTACAGGAAGGGGCTGTCTATGGGAGCTCAGGAAATCAACGCTGCCACTCAGAGACCTAATTTGAATTGAAAAGGAGTTTTCACGGCACGGAATGAAATTTATCCGAGAGAATCTCAGAGTATTGAAACTGTTGAAAGATGATTCTTCAAACAAAGACCCAGGGCTGGAGAGAAGGCTCGCTGCTTGAGAGCACTTGCAGCTCTTGCAGAGGGCTCAGTTTCAAGGCTCAGCCATCTGCAACTCCAGTTCCAGGGAACCTGGAACTGATGCACTCTGTGGGTACCAACTACCCACATGATATACAAATCCACAACCAGGCAAAACACTGATATGCAGAAAATCAAACTAGATAAACCTTCAAATAAAAACACCAAAGACCTCCCAGGCAATGGTGGCACACACCTTTAATCCCAGCACTCAGGAGGCAAAGGCAGGCAGAGCTCTGTGAGTTCGAGGCCACCCTGGTCTACAGAGCGAATTCTAGGACAGTCAGAACTACTCAGAGAATCCCTATCTCAAGAGTCATTCCAGATGAGCCAGGACTGTTCAACAGAACTTTCTGCAGTGATGGAACTGTTGTCTACCTGTGCTATGAATCACAGTACCCGTTAGCTATAGTAGCTGAGAACTCAGCGTCGGGGCAGCATAGCTGAGGAACTTTTAAGTTGTATCTAAACACATATTAGCCCCAGGTGGCAATTGTAGTGACCATGGCAGCTCTTCATGGTAATTATAGCTGGCATCATAGGTGATATACTGTGGTTTAGTTCTGAGGGGTTTTTTTTTTCCTTCACACCAGAGGAGAGTCTGGGTTATATCTGACTTTGTTTTTCACATTTTTTGAGTAATGCCTTTTTTTTCTCCTCAGTATAGCAGGGCCATAAGAAGTTGGTTATAATGTCCCTGAAGGCGCTACTGGCAGGTTTTGAAATAACTTTTAAGTTTTACACTAATTCTTCAGGGAAGTTTTTTAAGAGTTTAATAGACCTGTTTGGTTTGGGGTTTTAATGCTCTACTGGGGATTGAACCTCCTTCAACAGTAAAAGAGTGATAACGATTCTTTGTAAACCAGTCTTAAAGTCAGGCTCCTAAAACTTCTCCTAGGCCTTAAGCAGAGTCCCGATACTTGAAATGACCCACAACCTCTCCCTCTCGATATCCAATCAGTGTTTGGCCCAGTTCCCCATTCTGCACCACCCACCTCTGCCTACAAACCCTTGCTGTCAGATCTTCAGCAACAAATCTTACTGGCTCACATCCAAGTTTGGTTTCTGTTGCTGTGACGGACACAAAGAATGAAGGGTCTCTGGCCAACTTGAGCGTCTTGGGCATGGTTCTGGCAGGCCTTGCCCTTCTTCCCAATTTACAAAGAGACTACATTCCTAAAACTGGCCACCAAGGTGTATTCCCTTATTTGGTTACTTCCTTGTCCTGAGAGTGACTACCAATGTCTAGCTATGAAAGTATCGAAGTCCAGCAATCAAAAGCCCCCTATGGCTCACCTAATTAACACGCACACTTAAACACCTCATCCTAACAGGGGTTTCCCCCTTTACCTTTATAAACCACCATTTGCCTACTTGCCACATCGTGTCACATCCGTCTCCTCTCCATCCAGAGGCAGTCCTTTGCCCCCTGGGACAAATACCCTTACCCCCTTTCCCTTGTTCCCTTCCCCTTCTTCCTTGTCCTTATCTCTTGTCTTTGTCCCTTATCCCTGCCCTCTGTCCCTCTGGGGCAAATAAATCTCTTTCCTGCTGAGAACTTTGTCCCTGGAACCCTGAGCCGGATGCTGACAGTTTTCCTTTAAATGGCCAAATCCAATTTGGGGAGGAAAGGATTCATTTCATCTTACAGGTTACATGTAGTCCATGGTTGAAGGAAGTCAGGGCAGGAACTTGAAGCAGAAACTGTGGAGAAATGCTGCTTACTGGCTTGCTCCCAGGCTCACTTCAGCTCCCTTTCTCACACACACCCCAGGCCTTAGGCTAATCCTGCCATTCCCCTGTGGGCTGAGTCCTCCTACAGCAATTGAAACCTTTTGCGTCCACAGGCCAATCTGACAGTTCTTCAACTGAAGCCCCCTTTTTTCAGGTGTGTCAAAACAACAGTCAAGACCATGATGTTTTGTCGAACACAAATAATTTCGAAGAGCTTCACATCAAATGGGGCTATTTTCCGGGAGTGATGGACCATAGCAAAAACCAAGACTTCTATACTGGGTAGAGCAGCATACTGTCATAGTCTCAGCATGTGGAGAGCAAGAGGATTATCCTGAGTTTGAGGCCAACCTTGACCACATAGTGAGTTCTAAGCCAGGCTAGACAACAGAACGAGATTCTGTATTAAACCAAACCAAAACCAAGACTTTTTTGTAATCATACCCTGATATTAACATAGTCCAAAACATAAAAATAATCAAGTATCCCCTATCCTGATCAGCATGAGTCGCTCGTCCTCTCTCTCCTAAGGTAAAGTCTATTCCATTCATCACAGAAGCGCCCTGCTTTCTGAAGGTACCCAGTGCACAGAACAGGAGAGTTTGCTTCCAGAAATCTTTCCCCCCAAGTGTATTGGAATTGGAGGTTGACAAAGGAGACCGCCACATTCTCTAGCTCGATCACCTCTGGTTTGAATGAGTCCTTGCAGACTAACAGTATGCACAGGTGAATTCAGGTCGATCATGACTAATGAATGTTTACTACTTTCGTTCATTCATCTGATGCAAGCAACAGGGCAATGCTTGTTAGACTAATTGCAGTCTTTTATTTACTTAGAGAGGGTTTTACTATGTAGCCCTGGCTAGTCCTGAACTTGTGGACAGTCTCCTAATGAAGGAACAAAACAAACTCCATTTTGTGCTAGGCCCTCTGGAGTGCTTGGATTATAGGTCACCAAGTTCAGCCATTTTTATTTTCTATTGATTAGTTTTATTTTTTTAAAAAATGCTTATTATTACAAGTCGCCATTCAGTCATTTATAATTTATTTTATTGTTCTGGTGGAGGTTTTTAGTTTTATTTATTTAGGCAGGCGAGTATCCCGTCCAGCCTTTTTAAAAGCCTTGGCTCAGGCTGGCTTCGAACTCGCGATCCTCCTGTCCCAGTCTTTATTTTTCAGCATTTGCCTACTGGCATCCATCACCACGGTCCGCCTGCTTTTGTTTTGTTCATCTATTTTACTGTTTTGACAGAAAAATAAAGAGAATAAATTGGAGGGCCCGTCAGCAAACCTCGCCACTGGAAAAACAGCAGCCGAGTCAGCTTCCCTACGGGCCTCAGCCCCTCCTTCAGGGCACAGCCAGGAGCCCGCCCCCCGCCGCTCCGGATCGCTCTGCGCAGGCGCTATTTCGCGTGCACGTCAGCGGCGGGTCCCTAGCCCGAGTTCTCGCGCCAAAATGTTTAGGGCTGGTGGGGGTTACGTCATCCGGCCCTGAGACCCGGAAGTTCCCTCCGGAGCCGACAGGGCGGCTCCGGCACTTCCCGCGGCGCTGAGGATGCTATGGCGGCGAGCGCGCTTTTTGGAGCGTGGCCTTCCGCCATTTCCGTTAGCTCGGCCCCCGGCTGAAGGGCTAACTCCGGTTTCCAGTGGAAGCCCATCCCCGCTCGCAGAGGCGCTCCGGCGCGCCCTGTGTCCGGGCGGCTCTAAGGTTGAATTCCCTCCTCCCTTTAGCTAAGGTCGCTTGGACGCTTGCACGCCATTACTCTTTAGGTCTCAGGGACGTCCCCCGGGGGTGGATTTCTTCAGGCTTTGTTTAGTATTCAACCCCACCCACCGGAGTCTCTCTGGGCGGGCCTGGTCCTCTTGCTCTCCCTCGCGCTGGATCCTTATGCGGCTGCGTAGAAAAAAAAAAAAAAGCCACCCCCCCGCCCGGCGTTTCCCCCCCCCCCCCCGCCCCGTCCCCGGTCTCCTGTTCCCTCAGGGCCAAGGCCTTTCTGGAAAGCTCGACTGTTAGGTATAACCTAGTGCTAGAAGGTTCGATTTTTCCCCGTCGCTCTGGAGAGAGACTTAAAGGATGGGTTACTGCTGGTGTGTTCCCTAAGCTTCTGGAAATTTTCACTGTGAGCGTTCCTGGCGTTTTTTCTTCGCGTTTAGGCTATTTTAGTGCAGATGTGTGTACGCCCTTCCCATAATAATTCCATACTTCCAAGCGTGTAATTACATTCAGACAACACATTGTAGGACCTGCTCTTACTATAAAAGGTTTTATATGTCCACGCATATCATATATATGTGTGTCTGTGTATGTGTGTGTGTGCATACACACACTCAAGCGTTAACAGTAAAATGTATAAGCATTATATTTGCATCATATGTTCTGGGACTGAACTCCAACTGACAAGAAATTTGTCTGATCTGAATTAGAGCGTGTTATAAATGTAAAGCGCATCAGAGTTTTTGAGAATTAACACACACACACAAAGATTAAAACACCTGTTCATATCAGATTTTGAAAGGACAGTATTGGGGTGTGACCTTGGTGTAGCTCAGTGGTAGGGCACATCTTTAGTGTGCACAAGACCTTGGGTTTGATCCCTAGCATCACATTTCTCTAAAAGAAAAAGTATTTTCGATATACTGGGCCAAGTAAAATTCTAATTAATTCCATCAGTTTTCTACCACGATTGTTACTCGTTTTGAAAAATTATTTTTGTGACTTCAAATCTTTCTGTGGGACAGGATTGCTTGAAGAAAGGCATTAACAAACAGTGTCCTGTGGCCAAATACAGACTGCCCATTTTCTACTTTGAAACAGGGTCTCTTGTAGCCCTTACTGGCCTGTGTGTGAGTCACCACACGGTTTTAGGGCTTTATGTCGTGCTGAGGAGCAAACTCTGGCCCCTGTGCTTGCTAGGTAAGCACTCTACAAACTTAGCCTCCTGTTCAGCACTACCGCTCCTCCCCCTCCCCCATGCTTGCCTGGAAGCCAGAGTTCAATTTAGAACTCTGAATTTAGTTCAGTCTTTCTCAGTTACCGTCCCTCCCACTTGGTTTTTGAGATTTTGAGACGGGCTGTCTTTGAACCTGAAACTCACCAGTTCCGCTAGACTGCCTGGCCAGTGAACTCCAAAGATTCACCTGTCTCTCCCTTCCCATTGCTGGAATTGCAGGTGTGCACCACGAGCCTGGCGTTTGATGTGGATGCCTGGGATCCAGACCCAGGTCCCCATGGCACAGCAAGCAGTTTACCAGCTGAGCCATCTCCCCAGTGCCAGCCGCATGTTGCATTATGTTCTACTGTATGTAGATAGATGTGTGGGTATGTGCACATGAGTGCTGGTGCCACTGGGAACCAGAGGCATCAGATCTTCCCGAAGCCTAGGTTACAAAAGCTGTCGTGAGTCATCACATGTGGGTGCTGGAAACTGAACTCGGGTCCTCTGCAAGAGCCTTACACACTCAACTGCTTAGCCATTACTCCAGCTCCATTCAGTATTTGCTGTCTGTTGTTCTTTCTACAAAAGTAGTCGAGTTGAAAAGTCCCTGCACCGGAAGTCTAAAGTGTTTCCTATCTGTCCTTTTACAGAAAGCATTTGCTGACCTCCTGCCCTGGAACAACACCTGGTATGGTAGATATTAAATCTTTTAAATATGGTTTTTAGGGGGAAAACCTCACTATAAATTCATGCTGTCTGGAATTGACAACCCTCCTGTCTTAGCCTCCTGAGTGCTAGGATTGTGTGTTCCAGTATGCCTGGAAAAATTATTTATTTTAAAATTACATTTATGTCTTATGTGTGAATGCATATGTATCATGTTGTCCAAGTCAGAGGACAACTCGTCAGTTCTCTTCCTTTGCTATGTTCTAGGGATTGAACGCACATGGTCAGGCTTGGTGATAAGAAGTTTTACTCACTGAGCCTTCTTGCCAACCCCTGGCAAATTTTTAAAATTTCTATTGTAAATTCATATAATTGTCAGTCCCTTTATAAAGATTAAGCCCTTCATTAAGATTTCTCATTTAAACCATGCAGTGGTAGCCCACACCTTTAATCCCAGCGCTCGGGAGGCAGAGGCAGGTGGATCTCTGTGAGTTCGAGGCCAGCCTGGTCTACAGGAGCTAGCTGTAGTGTAGCCAGAAGTGTTACACACAGAAACCTTGTCTGGGGCGTTGGGGGGGAGGGGGTCACCAGCAAAAGGAACTATCTCATTTAATTTGAATACTAATCCAAGGTGGCAGAGTCACCCCATTTTGAAGATGAGGAAGTAGAGGTACAGGATGATGAGTAAACTTAGTCAATTTGTTAATACTCCCTCACTTCCAGGAACTAGACTTTTCTCAGCATCCATATCCAAGAGTCTGCTAAGACCTACCTGATCAGCCCACAGTGGACACCATTTTTAATGGTTTTTTTATCTAGAATTTTAAAAATTTTTGTTAGCATACAGAGTGGTAGGGGTTTTTTGTTTTTTTGGGTTTTTTTTGCTGCTTGTTTGGTTTGGATTGGTTTGGGGTTTGGGGGGAGTTGTTTGTTTTGGTTTTGGTTTGATTTGGTTTTTCGAGACAGGGTTTCTCTGTGTAGCCTTGGCCTTCCTAGAACTCCCACTGTAGACCAGGCTGGCCTCGAACTCACAGAGATCCACCTGCCTCTGCCTCCCGAGTGCTAGGATTAAAGGTGTGCACCACCACCACCCAGCTCAGAATAGGTTTTTTATGGCATTTTTATTTGTAGAAGTCACTATATTTTATTCTACTTTATCTCCATCACCCGCTACCCGCTCCATGTTCTCTTCCCCCTCTGATAAATTCCCTTACCCTCATTTCCCCTGCCCTCTTCTCATTATCCCCTTTCTAGTTTTATGATAGAAGATCTTTGAATGATTTTATTAAAGAACAGGAATTGAGGTGGACTTTGTCTTCCAGGACTTACATACAGTGCATGAGTCCAAGCAAGTTGCTATATAGTGACTAGAATTGAAGCTCATACGCTGAAAGGAGAGGAAGCATCCCGGACGCTTTGTCACTTGTTTAACAGAAGAAAGAATCTTGTAAACTCTTCGGCAGCTGTGGTCAAGGGAATAAAAGAGGTACTACTTCTTTGTGGGAACTATAGAAAAAAATGTTCTTAAATATGGTAAACATGAAAACACTGTAGTGATTTTATGTTCTTCACAGATTTTCTGTTGTTAGATGAAATTCATCTCCCAGACTTACTGTGCAAATTGAGGTAACCTGAGCGTGAATAGCGTCATAGACTTGCTCAGTAAACATTCATTGCCTCCCACTGTTAAGAGGTAAGTATTCGAGAATATCAGAAATTGTATACATTTCAACATTTACTACATTATAATCATAAAAGCTTCTAATTTGAATTGTACACAGCAGTGTTTTTAATGGTTTCTTATATAATAGGATTTACCTAACAAAGTCTGAAGTTAGAGAGGTTCTGTGTATTCACTCCAGGAGCAAGAGTACAACTTTTTTTGAAACTAATGGCAGCCTATTCGTGAAGTGGTTGGAGGGGTCAGTTCTTGTGTGTGGTTTAAATCAGAATTGGCTGGAGAACTGAACAAATGTCCAAGTCCTACCCCCAGAGACTCCAATTCATTCTATCTGGCTAGCATTGTTTACTTTAGTTTTTGTTTGATTTCTTTGGATGATTTCTAATACACAGTCGGGGTAAGAAGCACCTGTGGTGATAGCATGAGACCAAGTTTAGGGAGCTGCTGTGCAAAGGCACAACTGTGAAATGGGGCCCATGCCTGGGCTGGGCAGTGGTGGTGCACGCCTTTAATTCCAGCACTTGGGAGGCAGAGGCAAGCGGATCTCTGTGAGTTCGAGGCCAGCCTCGTCTACAAGAGCTAGTTCCAGGACAGGCTCCAAAGCCACAGAGAAACCCTGTCTCGAAAAACCAAAAAAAAAGGGGGGGGCATGCATGTCTGGTTGAAAGTAGTCAAGGCAGAGGAGCAGGGTGAGGTGTGCTATTCATCACATGGGCACAGCCTAAACTCTGTCCTGTCAGTTAAGGGGAATGTCTGAAGGACTTTTAACAGAGGAAAACACACACATAGGAGTTAATGAAGCCAAACTCTGCAAGGAAAACCATCTATAACTCCAATCCACCGGGATCTGTACTTTCTTCTGGCCTCCACTGATACCAGGCATGTATATGGTACACAGATATACATGCAAGCAGGCAAAACACCCATACTTGTAAAATTATAAAAAGAGAAAATAATTTTCTTCAAACTTAAAAAAAGACCCTATAATAGGGGATTTTTTTAAACTGCATTTATATGGCATGTGAATTTGCATAAAGGAAATACCGGTATTGTTATTTTTCACAACTTTTCTCTAAATTTAAAAGTATTTCCAAATAAGGAATAAGTGGGTCATCTGAATGTGACCCTGTTTTTCCAACAGCTCAAATGTCAGCACATTGTATCCTGTTGACTTTCAGAGTTCACCAGACCTGCTTCCTAACCTGTAATATCTGTTTCTTTACATTGGTTCCAACATTAGTATCCCCATTTCTGTTTTATTTCCTTCTTTATATTCAGAAAAGTATCAGTACAAAGATTATAAAGGCATTAGGTATATCAATCTCATAACCGAATATGAGGAGAAAATAGCCCAGTGTTTGCTTAGCATTGTCTTATGGTTGCTTACATGAGCATGATTTTATTCCCGACATGATTATCAGATTCCACCCAAGATGAACTTATTTTTTTTTTGAGACAGGGTCTCATGCATTCCAGGCTAACCTCAAATTTTCTCTGTATCTAAATATTGTGTTAAACTCATGCTCTCTTAGTCTCCATCCCAAGTGCTGGGTTTGCAGGTGTACACCACCGTGCTAGGTTCCTGAATAATCTTAATCTAGAAAGAAACTGATGTGTACAGTGCAGGTGGAAAAGTTATAGCTGATAATCTATCAAGTCCTTGAATGTTCTGCTGAAACTTTGCCGTCATTTTTTTCCTTCTGCTATTGAGACTAGAAATCTTGAAAGTTGACTAGTTCACATTGCTGTATTATTTAATCTGCCACACCCGTTTATATCACATTACTCTTTCAGAAAGCATCACATGGATAACTGGCAGAAGTGCTAGTTCACACTCCAAGAGCTGCAACTAGTAAAGGCAAACTTAAAAAGATTGAGCCATCTTTTTTTTTTCTTTGCAGCTGTGAAGATGTCTGACAAAAAACGTATCATTGCCAAGGCTTCCCTGATTGAGCAGCTGGTGGCTAAAAGGTATTTTGAGGATATTGGCAAACATCTGACTGAGCTTGAAATGATATATGTGTCTAAGGAGCATCTCCAGGAAACAGAGTTAGTCAGAGCTGTATACAGAGTCCTCAAAAACTGCCCCTCCGTGTCTTTGAAAAGGAAGGCCAAGTGTCTGCTGGCAAAGTGGAGAACTTTCTATAAGAGTACACACCTCAAAACAAAGGAAAGCCTTAAATTACTCCCTTCTAATGTTAATGAAGAAAAAGGTGCAGCAGTTTCTCTGGAGGTGAGCCAGGATGAGGCATCAGGTTTTAGCCATGATGAGATGGCAGGTCTCTGCAGTTCTCTCTCTAGGCTGGCATCTCAAGATGCTGAAAAGTATGCTGCAGCAGTTGGGTCTGAAAGTAGCACCACTCAAATGGAAATTAATGAAGAATATTTGGAGGGTGTTGACCCTGAATCTACTAGCAAGAGCTCAAGTGTGGTACAAGATCCCCTGGTGTCTGTTAGATCTAAATGTGTAGAGCTTCTTTACAGAGCGTTAGCTAGTTTTTCCACAAATGACATGAAAACTCATTTGTGGCAGAGATTTGCAAGAGAAATTGAAGAGCATATTTTTGCCCTTTATTCAAGCAACATCAAAAAATACAAAACTTGTATTCGAAGCAAAGTTGCCAATTTGCACAACCCCAGGAATTCTCATTTACAACAAAGCCTGCTGTCTGGAACCATGTCTACAAGAGAATTTGCTGAAATGAGTGTCCTGGACATGGCAAATGAGGAACTGAAGCAGCTGAGAGCTTTCTACACAGAAGCCAGTATTCAGGAACATCACCTTCCCCACACAGTTGACGGCACACAGACAGATAAAATAAAGTGCAAGCGCTGTGAGAAATACAACTGCAAGGTCACTGTAATTGCCAGAGGAACACTTTTCCTTCCCGTTTGGGTGCAGAATTCAAACCCAGATGAACAAATGACCTATGTCATTTGTAATGAATGTGGGGAACAGTGGTACCATAACAACTGGGTGTGCTTGTAATTTGTATATAATCCCTTCAGGGTTATGTTTTACATGTATAACATAACCCCTTTGTGCTCATTTTTTAACAGAATCTTACTGTTATTTTTGTCTGGGATTTTGGTTTTTGAAAGAGCTCACTATGTAGGCAAAGCTGGCCTCAGTCTCCTGAATGCTGGAATTACAAGTGTACACTGCCACACCTGGCTCGGTATATTGTCCTACTCCAGTTCTGGGAACAAGGAACGAGAGTTGTTTGCCAAAGTTAAGATCATTGTTGCTAAAAGTTGTTTGGGAAGAGTAGAAGACCATCACTCTGTACTTTGTGGCCATTTATAGAGTGGCAGTGTAGCACCACATGGCCTAAGAGCATGTTAGAGGGACAAACTCTGACCCTATACTCCTCTGAGTCCTGATCTGCATATGGCAGAATCCCCAGGCCATCCTCTGAGATACCTTGAGAAGCTCTGATAGAGCTGCAGGCCTGTGGCTCTCAGGAGTGACTATACATTGGAGTTTACTGGAGAGCATTAAAAGTATACAGGTGCCAAGGGTCAAGCCTAGAATAATTCAGTCTGAATCTATGGCATGGGACCCAGGCATCAACATTGCTCTGGTCATTCATTTCTCAGTTTAAGTTGTAGTTAGAGTTGAGAACTACATGTAAATAGTCTCTCATGTGAACCTTTCTATAGTTCTGAATGTTACTCTGGAGACTTGACAGATGAGGAAAGAGGCCCACGGAGCTTCAGTGGCTTAACCATGTTACATAACTATAGGTAGTCTGCCTCATATTTTCCAGCGTCCTTATGACGTAAGTGTGATGGCACATGTCTGTAATCCCAATGCTATGGAGGATGAGGCAGGAGGATTTAAGTGGGTTCAGGGGCAGTTTAGATTGTAAAGTCCCTGTCTCAAAAAATATTAAAAGGCCTCTGTGGTGATTCAAGTTTGTAATCTTAGCATTGCGAATGCTGAGGCAGAAACCCATGGTTGAAGCCAGCCTGGGGTTATGTAGAGAAACACTGTTAAAACTAAAGTATTCACAGTCTGAGAATGACTTGATACTGACTTTACAAAAAGTCTACTCCTGGAAATGGGTGCTAAGCAAATAGTGTTTGGAGCCTCTAAGTTTACATGATTAGAGTTTTATCCTTTTGTCCTTAATTTTCTCCTTTTTACACGTCTCTTTTAACCTATGAAAAGTTGCACTATAAGTTAGAATCTGACTTAGAGCCTGCTTCTGTAGTTAAATGAGCTGTGAATTTATTTTTTTTCCTTTGTGTGAGCTCTTTATAAAGTCTATATGATAACTAGTTTCTTGATGTTAGGAATCTTTTTGTCTTCAAAGTCATGTGTGTTAAAATCCTGCTTATATGAAAATGACACTAATTGTCAGAGGAAGCTCACTCCCTCAACCTTTGAATTTATCAACATTTCTTTACCTACTAACTGAAGAGGAAATCACTTCTCTAAGGCCTTTCTAAACAGTGTTTACCGATTTGTATGCTTAATACAACAAGCCATTAATATGATTATGGCTAATTTTCTTCTTAAAAATGATAGAATGTTATTTGGGATTTTGATTTTTTAACATGTAAGAAAATCATGCATCCACACAGAAGCTTAGATATGTACTCCTTTTACAGTTTACCAAGTGCTTACATACCCATTTTCTCTTTTATTGTTTGCCAGAGATGTGTGAGTAGTTTCTGTTTTTATAAGACTGGTAACACCCTGTAGCCTAAGCTGGATTCAAACTCAGACCGGCTAGCCTTAACCTCTGGGGTGCTGATTTGGGGTGTAAACTACCATTTATTAATTTTATCATAATAAAGAGTTTATTTCGTAGTTCCATGTATGTCCATATGTTTTCTTCAGTTATTGTCCTCTCAATCCCCAGTATTCCTTCATTGGAATCTGTAGGCTTTTGCTTATGTATATTTTTTTACCTCTTTATGACAGTTTCCCAATGAATGCATAAAACTAGCAGATTTTTTTCTTTCATATGTTTTGAAGCAAACAACTTGAGACTGTCAAGTCTGAGTTACATTTTGTTGTATTTTCTCCATTTTGCATTCCAGGGCTGTTGATCATAATGCAATGTGTTAGTCCTTTAAACTGAAACTTATAGAGTCATCAAAAACTCAAAAGTTTCACAAAGTGTGGTTTCATGTGACTTGGAATGACCTTAAAACCTAAATGTTGGTTATGCAAGACTACACACAGCACATGAAAACCATGCTTAATTTGTTCAAGTCAGTATTGGTATTTGGGTTTTCTATGTATCTATGTATGAGTATTATATACTGAGATTTTATAAGCTACATTTACCAAAATAAAAACACTTGAAATGGAAAAAAAATTCTTATTCTCCAAGATTTTTTTTAATGTGTGCAGTCTTCCTCACTTCCCATAAGCTTTGTCAGTTAGTTTTGCAACTAGGGAAATGGTGATGTTGGTTTTATTCTTTTGGTCAGTGAGACAGTTACATTTTCTGAGTAGAGATAATTCTTTTACACTCTGTCTTATCCCAGAGAGAGAAAGAGAGATGGAGGGAGGAAGGAGTTTGTTTATTTATTTGTTTGTTTGAAACAGGGTTTCTTTGTGTAGCCTTTGCAGTCCTAGAACTAGTTCTGTAGACCAGGCTAGCCTTGAACTCACAGAGATCTGCCTGCCTCTGCCCCCCCCCCCCAGTGCTGGGATTAAAGGTGTGAAAGAGGAGTTTCTTTACAGTTGCTGGTGGGGTAGGTTCTAATTTAAAATTGCCCTTATAGGAACAAAAAGCAACTCCGCAAACTCCAAGATGGGAAAGTGCCTGATTATAAGGAACAGCTTATGTGAATGAGAGACAGTGTGAAAGAGCCAAGAGTTCATGAGTTCCCTTGTAGGTCATGATAACAATGAGGACTTTGGGGGGAGTAGGGTGGTTGTGTTTAAAAAACCACTAAAGCTAGGCAATTTGTAGTCATGGAATTTAAGTGCCTTTTAGGAAGATGATTGTAGCTGCTTTGTTGAGTGATAAGAGAAACAAGGATGGATGCGGGAGCTTTGGTTAAGTGGCCATTGACAATGGTTAAGTAAAAGTATAGAAAGAGGGACTGAAGAAGGGCTCAGCAGTTAAGACCACTGCTACTCTTCCAGAGGACCTGGGTTCAATTCCCAGTACCCACATGGCAGCTCATAACTCTATAACTCCAGTTCCAGGGAATCTGACATCCTCACAAAGATGCATATGCAGACAAAACTTGAATGCACATAAATTTTTGTAAATAAAGTATAGAATGGTTTGTCTGAATCCTGATAGTTGATGAAACCCTTAGCAATTTTGCAAATGACTGTTTCATAAAATATGTCCAATTCAAAGTTTTCTCCCTGTTGCCAAGAGTCAAATAACAGTGCAAAATGTCAGCTCGTGCCCCAGTCTCCATGGTAACTACATAGGATGAAAACATCCATTTTAATACCTGAATGTGGGAAGGTTTTCTCCACGGATTTTTCCGAATCCGTCTCCTTTGTCCATACTTTTTAATGTGAAGAATTGAGTACAATTGTGGCTCTGTCTCTTCCCTGGGTATTTCCTGTGATGAGAGGCTTCTTTCATTCCCAGATACCATTTCTAAGTGCCAGGCAGGAAGCTTGTGGCTGGCAGTACTCCATTGCCTTTGCTCAAAGGGTCTGGACCTTCCTCTTTTAGGTCAAATTGTTTTGTTTTTATAATGCCCAGTAAATGAAAATATTTTGCCACAGTATTTTTATGTCTCTCAGAGGTACTTATTGTAAGCACCCAGGCTGTAAGAAGTAACTTTTTAGTCTCAGAAGAGTGCCACAATCAGATGGACAAACCAACGGCAACCTCATGTAATCCTATTCATATTTAAAGTAAGGTGGCCAAAGATGCTACCACACACTGCCAGAAACTTGGTGTTGAAAGGATCGCACATTTTGTATTGCCAGGCCCCAGCTCTTCTGACACACAGGAGCCTCCTTGAATCCTTTTCTTTGTGACATCATGTGGCCATCTGCTATTTTGAAAAGTAAGTGATTTTAGAATAAAAAGTTAAGAATTAAAATAGAATACAAGGTAGCTGAGGCTGGCCTCAAAGTTCATATATGAATTTTTGTGGATGTATGCTCTTGCCTTCTTTAAAAATGGAAATGAGCTGGGCGGTGGTGGTGCACACCTTTAATCCCAGCACTAGGGAGGCAGAGGCAGGTGGATCCCTGAGTCCGAAACTGGTCTACAGAGCAAGTTCAGGATAGGCAGGGCTATACAGAGACACCCTGTCTTGAAAAAAAAATGAAAATGAAACCTGAATATAAGAGTCAGTTCAAGGTACCCATCACTGTCATCGTCATCACTATTACTATTTGGGCCAGCTGCTCAGGTCGACCTGGCTGGGTTTGAATGTACTATGCAACCATAACCAAAGATGACCTTGAGCTTCTGATCCTCCTGTTCCCACCTTCCCAGTGCTAGGATTACAGGCATATACCATCATGCCTGGTTTTATGGGGTACTGAGGATGGAAGCCAGGACTTCGTGCATTCTAGGCAAATGCTCTACTGACTGAGCCACATCCCTAGCCCTGTTAATCCTTTTCAAATAATGACACATTTCTGAAGGTCTAAAACAGGCATGGAAAAGTTACCGAAGTAAGAAGCAAATTCAAATATTATTCATTTAGAAACCATGTCTTATCTTCAGAATATAACCACTTCTGAAATGATGTAAACATAGATGCAGCTGCTTATAAAAGATGCCAAATGGCATCATAACTCACCAAATTTGCCTTTGTGGATTGAAACAAAAATTGAAGAAATTTCCAAGAGTACCCATGAGGCCCTGAGTCATCTGACTGGACCCCACCTACTGTGCCTCTCCTTAAACCGGTGGTTCTCAACTTTCCTAATCCTGCGACACTTTAATACAGTTCCTCATGCTGTGGTGACCCCCAACCATAAAATTATTTTTGTTGCTACTTCGTAACTGTAATTTTGCACTGTTATGAATCATAATGTAAATATCTTGTTTTTCCAGTGGTCTTAGGCAATCCCTGTGAAAGGGCCGCTCGACCCCCCAAAGGGGTCAAGACCCACAGGTTGAGAACCATTGCCTTAAATGATGGAGGACCCAAAACTACAAAAGTGGTTTCAATTTCCTTCCTTGGCCACAATATGACCATAATATGGCACTTACCCAATCTGCATTGGACATAACTCATATCTGACAGGCACAGCTCAGTGGAAGAAAGCCGGAGTCTGTTTCCACTCATGTCTAACAGCAAAGGATCCCACAACTTAAGTGGGCTGGGCCTTGCTAGTCATGAGGCCACTGGGTAGGCTTGTCTTAGTTCTAACGTCTTGTCAGGCAGAAATGTCTACTTCTGCAGTTTTGTTTCCATTCAGTCCATGGACTTTTTGCTCACAGCAGACTCCTCACAAATGGTTGAGCAGGAAGTTTCTGTATATCTTGAGGGAACATATTTTAAAATGAGATAGAAGGGATGCATGACGTTTCAGAAGTAATAAAAATGTGTGGTAGCCTGGTGTGCACAGGCTTTCCATCCCAGCACTCAGGAGGCAAAGGCTAGGCGGATTTCTGTGCTTTCCGGGCCAGCCTGGTCTATATATCACTCCAGGATAGTGAGGGCTACATAGAGAGACCCTGTCTCAAAAAAACCAAAACCAAAACAAGGCTGGAGAGATGCCTCAGAGGTTAAGAGCACTGGCTGTTCTTCCAGAAGTCTTGAGTTCAATTCCGAGCAACCACGTGGTGGCTCACAACCATCTATAATGAGAGCTGATGCCTTCTTGTAGCATGCAGGCGTGCATGCAGACAAACTGTATACACAATAAATAAATCTTTACCAAAAAAGAAAATCCTAGCATTAAAGCCCTAAAATTGTTGGTCAGTGGGTACTGAATTGTAATCAGGAGCATTTGATAGTTTTCATGTATGTACGTATGTATTTCAAATGTCTCTATGTATGTATGAATGGGGTGTGTGTGTGTGTGTGTGTGTGTGTGTGTGTGTGTGTTAGGGATCTCTTATTCAGCACACAGGTTGACCTGAAACTTACTGTGTAGCTTCAGATTCATGTAACTCCCCCAAACTCAGCCTCCTGAGTGCTGAAATGAGGTACAGGCCTGGTACCAACAACCCCTGTTTTTACTTCCTTTTGTTGAGCAGTTTTTCTCATGGCTGGAGCAGGTTGCGTTTCTGTTTTTCCCTTCCATGAGTCACTCTATCTCAGCCAGTTGTTTGCTTTCCTGACCTTTTAGTAGTGGAATGCCCCACATTTTACGCCTGCAATCTCTTCTATGTCTAACCAACCTTTGGTGATCTTATCTAATTCCCTGGCTTCTAGAACTCTTAGCACTCTTTCCCAGGCCTGCACCTCCCCACTTAATCTCAGACCCATAAATCTAAAGGCCAACTTGAGAACTCTCCACTTGTTGAACCCTAGAGTCCAATTACCAAGGATGAGTCACCCCCAAGAATACACTCTCACACCTCAGTTGATGTAATAGCAAGAGGATTTTAATTCTGCCACGGTAGGGTCAATAGCATTCAATGTCAAGGACTCTGAATGCCTGTTATAAGCCATTTTTAAAGGAAAAGCCATAGAAACAAGGGGGTAGCTCAGGGGTTGTTTTCCAAGTAGTAGGACTGCCTTATTTAGGGGGGCTTTTAATAACTAGTGGTCTGAGCCAGAGCTGGAGAGCAGTTACCAGATCAGGCGAGGTAACAGGGAACATCTGGGGGTCATTCTGACCCCTTTCCAGGGACAGAGTCAAAACATCTGTGAACATCTGTGGGTTATCTTGTCCCAATTCTAGGAACGGAGCTCTATTTGGAGAACATTCACAAGGCCATAGGGAGATGAAAAGTTCCCAATATTTTAGTATGTGCATGTATAGTTGTTAGCTTCCCAGGGAAGGAGAGGGGCACTAAGGCACTAAGACTGAGAGCTTAGTAATGGCCTCAGAATTGTCTTAAAGTTTTACACACTGATATGTTATAAGCATCTTAACATGTTTAAAATTCAGCTTCCAGTCTTCTAACTCCTGCTTTTCCCCGGCTGCCTCGTATTACTTGAACTGAAAACTCCAATAAGGAGCCCACATTGGCTCCTTGCTTTCTTTCACAATAGTTTGCTAATCAATAAGCAAATTCCATTTTATTGATTATACTTCAAACATATATCGAGAAGCCCAAGTTTAATATGGAGCTAGAGAGATGACTCAGCAGTCTCTTGCTGAAGCGAGGCATAGTGGCGCATGCCTTTAATCTCAGGAGGCAGAGGCAGGAGGATCTCTGTGAGTTTGATCCAATGAGGTCTACAGAGTGAGTTCCAGAACATCCAGGACTACAGAGTGAGACTCCATCTCTCAAATAAGGAAAATATTTGCTGCTCTTCTAGAAGACCCAGGTTTGGTTTCTAGAGCCCACAACCATTTATAGCTCCTTGCTAACTAAATCACCACCACCACTCCCATATACCTTGCTATGGACTAGAACCAGTCAGACTGGCCTCCTTGCTGTTCTTCGACTGTGCCAGGCACACACCTACCATAGGACCTTTGCACTAGCTGTTGCTTTGGCTTAGAATGCTCTTATTCCAGAATCCTAATGAGTTGACTTACCTCTCACAAGTCCTAGCTCAATGAATGCTGCCATCTTTTGCTTTCCCTGGTCATTTCCTGTAACCTAATACATTTTCTAATTTCAAAGAGCGTATTCACCATCTAAATGTAACGCCTTCATCTCTAATACTGATGCTTCCCTGTCTCTTCCACTAAATTGTAAACTCTGTGGCTCAGAGATTTGCCTCTTTGGCTCCCAGTTCATTCCTATCTCCTATACTAGTTTCTAATACACAGAAAACACTCAAGAATTGAGTGTTTGCCAGGCCGTGGTGGCAGGCAAAACAATTCGAATGAATGGAGACTTAGAAAACAGTGGACATTTTGCTTTTCTTCTTCATGTAGAAACTTTGAGTAAACACACAATTTCTAGTCTTTGGTCACATATTTCCAAACCAATATAAATTAATTTGCATTTGTTTTATAACCTCACCCTTTCTGTCTAAGTTACTGTCTAAGTGTTCAAGAGCATTGTCACAGAAATAAATGAAGAGCAGAAGTGAAAATTCCTGAGCCAGAAATGGTTATGTATGCCAGTGATACCATCTCTTAGGAGGTGGAAGTTCAAAAGTTCATGGCCAGCCTCGTGTACTTAGCAAATTCAAGGCCTGCCTGGGATACTGAGCTCCTGGCTTGTGGTGCCTGCCTTTATTCCCAGCACTGGAGGGGCAGAGAAAGGTGGATCTCTGTGAGTTCAAGGACAGCCTAGTCTACAGAGCAAGTTCTAGGATAGTCAGGGCTACACAGAGAAACATTGTCTGGAAACAAAACAAAAAACCCCAAACCAAACAAACAAAGCCAAATCAAAACAAGCTATTTGTTCATTATTTTACTCACCAGAAAGCCCTGCAAATTACTTAATGAGGAATACTGTTGGAAGAACTTATCAGACTGAAAATGTTTGGTGATTATTCTTTTTTTTTTAATTTTTTTTGAGTGTGTGAGAAGATCCTGTGACTTAGCTGTTAGTATTCATGAGAGACTTTACTTGGCTATAAGCCAACAAATTTAGAAGCAATTCTTTGAAAATATTTCTTCCTAAATCACACGCACACACACACGCACACACACATGCACACACAATTTCCTTTTTTTTTTTTTTTTTTACTTTTTAGTTTTCTGAGACAGGTCTGGTGTCGCCCAGGTTAGCCATTAATCCACTAGTAGCTAAGGATGACCTTGATCCTCCTGCTGCCACTTCCCAAGCACTTGGAGGATGGGCCAGCGATGCTGTGGCTGCTTTGGGTGGTGCGAAGGACGGAACCAGGGTCCTTGTACATGCCGTGTCCCACGTAAGCATTCTCACCTGAGCTACATCCCCAGCCCCCGAAACACTACTTTTCAAGTTATGTTTTTTTTTAATGTTCATGTGAAGTTTTTTAAATCTAATTCAGTGGGCTAAAGCCACTGTACACAAAGTTGTTGTCAATTACCAGAAAGGATTGTAGAATCTTTTAATTTCCCAAGAAGTTTGGCAGCGGGTAACAGTCATTCGAGTTCCCTGCCCTCCCCCAACTAGTTCCAGACACCTATAAATCTTTTTTGTATGGTTGTCTGTTTATCTGTTTGTTTGTTTGTTTGTTTGTTTGGTTGGTTGGTTGGTTGGTTGGTTGGCTGGTCGGTTGGCTGGTCAGTTTTTCAAGACAGGGTTTCTCTGTGTATTCCTGGCTGTCCTGAAATTCATTATGTAGACCGGGTTGGCCTCAAACTCACAGAAATCTGCCTGCCCCTGTATCGGCGAATCAATCCCACACCAGCTATGTTTTAAGGGGTTATTTATTTTGGGGGGTAAAACTTACATACACCATAAACCGTCAGGAAGGGAGCCTAGTCGCTGGAGTAGGAGCCGGGAGCAGGAGCCGGGACCAATCGCCGGAACCAAAAGGGCCTGATCTGGATCTGTGTCTCTTTTTAAAAGAGAAATATACCACGCCCCAGTGGGCTGGTATTTCAGCGGCTATTGACTGACGGAGCAGAAGTCGCTCCCCGCTGCACTGTGGGCTCGTGCTTCAGCGACTATTGGCTGAGGCAGCGGAAGATACTCCCACAACACCCCTGCCTTCTGAGTACTGGGACTAAAGGTGTATGCTGCTGCCACTATAAATCTTGATTATTTATATTGGTTCTCATTTGCCTAACCTAAGCATTTCACAAAAAATGGAGTCATAACACACGCCTTTAATCCCAGCACTAGGGAGGCAGAGGTAGGCGAATCTCACTGAGTTTGAGGCCAGCCTGGTCTACAGAGTGTGTTTCAGGACAGCCAGGGCTACACAGAGAAACCCTGTCTTAAGAAACAAAAACAAAAACAAAAATAAAAACAAAGAGGCGAGCAGGGGTCAGGCAGACATCTTGGAATCCGAGAGTGGTCAGGCTGGCCTTGTGGGGACTACTGACTCCAGGTCTGTTCTCAGAGCAATGGGTCACAGAGACTGAGCCGCCACCATGATTGGAGGTTTATTCATCTATAATCACAAGGGGGGGTGCTCATCTCCCCGGTCTACAGGGATGACTTCGGGAGGAATGCAGTGGATGCCTTTTGGGTCAATGTCTTCCATGCGCGGCAGCAGGTGCGCAGCCCTGTCACAAACATCGCTCACACCAGCTTCTTCCATGTTAAGCTGTCCGCAGCAGTCAACAAGCAGAATGTCAATGCTGCCATGGTCTTGGAATTCCTCTATAAGCTGTGCGATGTAACGGCTGCTTATTTTGGCAAGTTCAGTGAGGAAAACATCAAGAACAATGTTGTGCTCATATACGAGCTGCTGGATGAGATTCTGGACTTTGGCTACCCACAGAACTCGGAGACAGGCGCACTGAACACCTTCATCACTCAGCAGGGCATCAAGAGCCAGCATCAGACAAAAGAAGAACAATCCCAGATCCCCAACCAAGTGATTGGGCAGACTGGCTGGCGGCGGGAAGGCATCAAGCATCGCCGAAATGAAGCCTTCCTAGATGTTCTGCAGAGCATAAACCTGCTTATGTCCCCACAGGTGCAGGTGCTAGGTGCCCATATGTCAGGCCGGGTGGTGATGAAGAGTTACCGAGTGCAAGTTTGCAATGAATGACAAGGTTGTCACTGAAAAGCCGGGCAAAGGCACAGCTGATGAAACAGGCAAGAGCGGTAAACAGTCAATTGCCATTGATGACTGCACCATCCGCCAGTGTGTGCGACTCAGCAGGTTTGACTCTGAACTTCATCCCACTTCAGCATCAGCATCAGCTTCATCCCACCTGATGGAGAGTTTGAACTCAGGAGATACCGTCCTACCAAGGACATCATCCTTCCTTTCCGGGTGATCCCATTGGTGCGGGAAGTGGGACGCACCAAACTGGAGAGCAAGGTAGTCTTCAAGTCCAACTTCATGCCCTCACTTCTGGCCCAGAAGATTGAGGCGAGGATCCCAACCCCACTGAACACAAGCGGGGTGCAGGTGATCTGCAAAAGTACAAGGCCAGCGAGAACGCCATTGCGTGGAAGATCAAGCTCAGGGCAGGCATGAAGGAATCACAGATCAGCCCGGAGATTGAGCTTCTGCCCACCAATGATAAGAAGAAATGGGCTTGACCCTTCCATCTCCATGAACTTTGAGGTGTCATTCACGCCTTCTGGCCTCAAGGTGAGCTACTTGAAGGTATTCAAACCGAAGCTGAACTACAGTGATCATGATGTCATCAAATGGGTGCGATACATTGGCCGAAGTGGCAGGTGGCTAGCTGCCTAGTGGCAGGTGGCCCACTTCCCCACCACCCTTTCCACAGGTCCAAGTATCCCCAGTGACCACTAGTCAGTGTCTTTCCTTCCTCTTGCTTTGCTGCCTTTCCTTTATAGCAGCCCCTGAGTATAGGTCTGAACCCACCACGGTGGGATTGCTGACTGTCCCTGGCTTCCTGGGCAGGGTGGTTTCTGAGGCTTCTCTTCCATCTGTCTGTCCCGGCTTAGTGCCAGGCCCTGAGTTTTGTGACCAAAGCCAGGTGGCTCCCTCTCCTTTCTACCCTTGTGGCCACACCTCTGCAGTGGGAAGGTTGACTGCCCTTCCCCTCAGAACTCCCCCAAAGACCAGTAACAGATCCTCAGCCCTTAGTCCCTACTCTGTTTTGGGACAGTGTGCTTTGTTTTGTATTCGTGTAACTTGGTCCAGTTCTAAACCCAATAAACCGTAGAGTGGAAAAAAAAATAAAGTGGAGTCATAAGATACATGACCACCTTTTATATCTGATTTTTACAACACTGGTGTGTGTGTGTGTGTGTGTGTGTGTGTGTGTGTTGTGTGTTTAACTCAAAATGTAAACCATATTTTACTAATCAAAGGAACTTATACTGACCCTTAGTTCAAGTACCTTAGGAGAATTTACATAGGTACTTTTAACATGTGCATGCTACAATTACACCCGTTCAAATTTTTGGGTCAAAAATTACTTTGGGGAGGGTATGATGGTGAGCACCTTTAGTCCCAGCCTGGTCTACATAATGAGCTTCAGGCTAGTCAGGGCTGTATAATGAGGCCCTGTCTAAAAATAAAAACCCAAAACCAAGAAATAAACCTTTACAATTTTTTGACTAGTTACATGCAAAAGTTGGCATTTTAAAAGTAATATATTCTTATCTCTAAGATAAAAGTCATAAGATCTTTCTATCCTTGGAGAAAAAGGAAATAACGATATTTTTCTCTAGTTTTATATATATTTTTGGCAATGAAGTGCTCACTAAAGCCATCATATTTAGTAAAGACTAAAATTAGGAATTCTTAGTAAGTTGGATCAGTCTTTCCCCCACTAAACATCTTTCTTCCCCTTCCCAAATACAGACACCATATGGTATAACATTTGCGTATTTAATATGTGGTAAAAACTTACTTCTAATATATGTCTTTCACACAATTTCATAACATTGGGGGATTTCACACTTAGCCCATTCTCTGTGCTTCATTTTTATCACCTGACCTCTAGCTTTCACACAAACCCACCCCCCAAACAGAAATATCATAAATTGTTGTATTCTAATTGAAAACTTCTGTGCTAGAGGGATGGCCTCTAGTCCAGTGCCAGGCAGTGGAATTTCCTACAGCGATAGACATCTTTTATATCTTCACTTAGAAGTGAGTAGTCACTAGCCAATAGAAAGTGTTATGTCAAGGAAATGAATTCTGAAAAGGTCTTTCTACATAGCCCTGGCTGGCCTGGAGCCCACTCTGTAGACCAGGCTGGCCTCAAGCTCACATAGATCTGCCTATCTCTGCCTCCCAAGTGCTGGGATTAAAGGCATGCACCACTACACTTTACTATTCAGTTTTTAATTGATTTATATTTAAGTGTATTTTATTTTAAAGACAAGTCCTCTGCAGGTAAAGGGTCTTGCTGTCTGTCAAGCCTGGCAATCCAAATTCAATCCCTGGGACCCTCATGGTGGAAGAAGAGAACTGACTCTCCAAAATTGTCCTCTGACCTACACACACACACACACACACACACAAACACACACATGCATGTGTCATGTGTTTATCTCTCTGTGTGTGTGTGTGTGTGTGTGTGTGTGTGTGTGTGTGTTTAAATACAAAGTCTCATATAGCCTAGCCTGGACTTATATTCATTATGTAGCTGATGGCTTTGAACTGATCCTCCTGTTGCTGCTGGGATTATAGACATACACCACCAAAGATGATTTTTTATTTAAATTTAGATAATCACTCGTATCATTAATGGTTAATGATTTGGACAACTAAGTCCAGTCCACAGAGGCACTGAACCTTTTTTCGTATTGGATTTAGGTCTTATGATTTTATAATCTTGTCATTGAAACTAGTGTTTTGCTGGGCAGTGGTGGTACAAGCCTTTAGTCCTAGCACTTGGGTGGCAGAAGCAGGCAGATCTCTAGGTCAAGGCCAGCCTGGTTTACAGAGTGAGTTCCAGGACAGCCAGAGCTACGCAGAGAAACCACATCTCAAAACCATCAAGCAAACAAGCAAACAAACAAAAGAACTGGTGTCTTTACAAATTTTCATGTTTTCTATATTTGCTAGTTGTACATGTGGAATTGAGTTCTGCTAGTATTTTATACCAAGCCATCTTGTTGAACAATTTATTTTTTTAGATTTATTTATGTGTATGGGTGTTTTGCCTGCATGTATTCCTGTGTATCACATGTGTGCCTGGTACCCTTGGGGGCCAGAATAGGACAAGAGATCCCCTGGAACAGGAGTTAAGGATGGTTTTCAACCACTATGTAGGTGCTGCAAATTGAACCCAGATCCTCTGGAATAGCAGCTAGTGCTCTTAACCGCCAAGCCATCTCTCCAGCCTCTTAAATGCTTGTCTCAATTAGGGTTTCTATTGCTGTGAAGAGACACCATAGCCATGGCAACTCTTGTGAAAGAAAACATTTAATTAATCCGGGTGGCTTACAGTTCAGGGGTTCAGCCCATTATCATCATGGTGGGACATGGCAGCATGCAGGCAGACATGGTGCTGGAGAAGGAACTGAGTGTTAATACATCTTGACTTGCAGGTTACAGGAAGTGGTTTCTGCTGCTGGGTGGTATCTTGAGCATATATGAGACCTTAAAGCCCGCCTTCACAGTGACGCACTTCCTCCATCAAGACCACACCTACTCCAACAAGGCTAGACCTCCTAATAGAGCCACTCTCTTGGGGTGGGGGTCCATTTTCTTTCAAACCATTGGAATGCTACATCTCCCATAGACTCATTTGGCTTATAGCCATATCACATGTATTTGATATGCGTTTATTTACCCCTTTGCAATCCCCATACTTCCTTTTTACTTCTGTGCACTAGGACCCTCATGAAGTGTTGAGAAATGCGATGCCAGAAGATAAAACAGTTTTATCTTTGTTTTATTCTTTAAAAGGCCTGCTTATAGATTCTAATCAAAGATAATGTTTGTTGAGGTTTCAAGTAGATTTTCTTTATGAGGTTCAAGGATTCCCTACTAGTCCTGGTTTGCTCAGGGTTTACTTATCATGAGTGGTTGTTGAATTTTATTGGATGCATATTTTAACTACACTGTATGTAGTGGGGCAGAGGGTGGGGTGATGCTGGGGATTGAACCCAGAGCCTCAAACATACAAGTACATACTTTACTCTGAGGTGTACCCAAGACCCCTATTTTTTTATTTATTTTTATTTTTTATTCATCTATTTATTTTACATCTTGGCCACAGCCTTTCCTCCACATCTTCTCACAGTCTAGTCTCTCCTCTCCCCTCTCCCACCCTCCAATTCCCTCCTCTTCTGTCTCTATCCAGGAAAGGGCAGGGCTCCCATGAATATCAATAAAACATGGCAAGTCAAGTTGCAGTAAGACTAAGCATCTCCCCATGTATTAAGGCTGGGAAAAGTGACACAGTATGAGGAGTAGGATCCCAAAATCCAGTAAAAGAGTCACAGACAGCCCCTGTTCCCACTGCTAGGAGTCCCACAAGCGGACCAAGCTACACAACTGTCACATACATGCAGAGGGCCTAGGTCAGTCCCATGCAGGCTCCCTGGTTGTCAGTTCAGTCTCTGGGAGCACCTATGAGCCCAGGTTGACCACGTGAACCTTCCTGTGGTGTCTTTGACCTCTCTGACTTCTACAGACCTTTTTCCTTCTCCTCCTCTGCAGGATTCCCGAACTCCACCTAATGTTTGGCTATTGGCCAGAACCCTATTTTTAATATCTATTGAGTTGACAGTATGTCCCCCCTACTTTAAACTGCTGAGATAGATCCAAATTTACCCTAATGTAGGAAATCCTTTCGCTTTGTTTTTTTGTTTTTTTTTTTTTTTTGATCATTAGCCACTTTTCTCTGCCTCTGTTCATGTCTGATGATCTTTATTGAGTGATGGACACTGAATATAAGACAGGGATGCTCCAGATTGCGTTTTGCGCCAGGGAAGGTCCCTTCTTTGCTGTTAGACAAGTAGGGTGAAGGATTTACCGCTTTTATCTAACCAGGGATTTTATTTCTGCCGAGCCTGGATGCAATTTGAACCAAGATATCTATGAGGTTGGAGTATTTATGCCCCAGTGTGGATGGAGGGAAGTTGAGGGAAGGAGGAAGGGGGGATAAGAAGTCGGCACTATGAAGATGGGGGCGGTGGCGCATACCTATAATCCCAGTAGTTGGGGGGATGAAGTGGGAGGATTGCTTTGAATTGGAGGTCATCTTTGATACAGAGAGAGAATCTGGTCTCCTGCCCAAAAAAAGAGATTGGGAATATGAGTGTGATAGCAGCCTTAGCTCCCATACCAAAACGGTGAAGCTCACCACTAACAGGTATGGGATATCCACACAGAGTGATGTGGAGAGGGCAAAAGAGGAAGGCTCTGGGAATACTTGGAGAAGCACAGACATTTTGTCTGTGTCTGTGTAGATTAAGGAGGACTTTTTTTTTTCTAAAAGAAATAGTTGCTAGGTACTGGCTTCCTGTCTTGCACTAACCATTGTAATCTAAGGCGAATATTACACTTGGATATCGTAGAAAAGATTTCCAAAGTTTGTTTTAATGTTTTTCCCTTGTTGAGCTTATAGGTGCAGGTCTTTGATCCTAGAGACCTGGGGAGGGGGGTTGGGCACGAGGTTTACAGTATCTGCCTACACTTCAGAGTGACTTTGAGGGCAGCTAGAACATCTTAGTGAGGATCTGCCTCAAACTAAAAGCAAAAAGAGGGCTAGGTGTGTGGTTCAGTGGTAGAGTGCTTTGCCTAATGTGTGCGAGACCCAGAGTTCAAACCACAGAAAAAGTTCTAAAGCCATGAAAGTGTCTACGTGGAGTTGGAGAGATGGCTCAGCAGTTGAGAGCACAGGCTGCTCTTCCAGAGGACCTTGGTCTGAACCCTAGCACCCTCATGGTGGCTGAAAACCATCCTTAACTCCAGTTCCAGGGGATCTGACATCCTCTTCTGGCCTCTATAGGCATTGTACACATGTGTTACACAACCATACATGCAGACAAAATACCCAAACACATAAAATAAAGATTAATAAATTTGTTTAAAAATAGGTTTTATCGCTCAAAAGAATATTTTAACACTGAGATCAATTCTTGAGTAAAAATTACCCAAAATCTTTCTGCCAAACTAATTCAATTAAATTTTTTTGTGGGTGTCTTCTGTTCTCTTGCTTATAAATACTCAAATGCAAATACATCTAATATCCTTCTTTTGTAACTGTAACCACAATATTTAGGTAGCAATCTCCCTTCTAAGATTAAGTTCAGTTTATGACTAATACTCACTAGTAAATCAGCAATGGGATAAAAGTCTTCATTTCATTTATGAATTTTAATGATGTTCCGTTCTGCCAGTTGGGGAGAGGACAGTGGTCGGTATTGAACCGAGGACTTTGACCTTGCTGGGCAATCTAAGTTGTCATCAGTCAAGAGGCTTCAGTGATAGTTTGCATACTTTCTCTTTAAGGTTGCTATGGACTAGGTTCTTGGGAAACTGCTGTATACTATATACTTCACTTGTAGCTCTCTTCCCAGAGCCCTTCCTGTTGTTGCTTGCTTATCCTCAGGGCACCAAAGGAGTCACCCCGCATGCATGCCTTTTCTAGTGGCCTGACCTTGCATGACCACCTATTGCATCGCATTGATTTCCTCCAAGGCCCTCAGTCTTGTCTGTAGCTACACCTTTGTTGAGCTGCTCGCTCAGCGTCTCTTCCACCCCTCTTAAGGCTTTCCCCCGTGGGGGGGGCCCGGGGGGGCAACTGCATTTAGTTCATTCACCAAACTAAAGTCAGCCGAACTGTATAGACTTTGAGTCCTCTGGAGGGAAAGATGGTGCTGGGCGCATGCCCCACCCCCAATTTCTTCTGTGTCTCTTTATTGTTCTATCCTCAGATAAGCACTTAGCATAATGGGGGCTTTGTTGAACAAGTATTAATGAGGATTGACTGTTCACTTCCTGTGACTCTAAAACTCCCCCAAGGGAAGTGAGCCTGTCTATGCTGCAGGCCCTGGAAGGCTTTGAAACGGTGTGGTGCTTACTCAAACCTGTGGGAGGTGCAAGCTGTGTTGGCCCCTCTCGCCAGGCTTTCTGGTTTTGGACAATGGATAAGCTGACAGAGCACACGTTTGAGTGACTTTTAACTCCCTAGCTGTCAGCCACTATCAACCATTCTATGGAATTGGGGGGATCCCCATACAAGGATATGTTCAATAATGGTTGAGGGTCAGAACTTTCATTTAATCATATTAGCTCCACACTGGAAATTCTAAACTTTGTTCATTGGTGAAATGCAGGCTAAAAATAATACAAGGAATTGCAACAGACAACAGACATCTGAAGCGAAAGGAATTGGAACCTGTATTGAAAGCCAGGTAAATGGAAGTCAAGGAGTGAGTTTCCATAAGAAGGTGGAGCATGCATGATAGAAAGTGCCACCCAGTGTGCTGGCCGTGTAATTTTTACATGCGATCATGCATTTACTAACATGAGAGCTCCGGAGCTCTCCAAATTCAGCCAGCTTATCTTCCCTCTTTCTTCCAACAGCCAAGCGGGGAAACCCCTGTCAAGGGCCTGTCAGTGAGGTAATGAAAATTTCCTGACCTCACAAGAAGTCCTTGTGACAGCATTGCCATCCCTTCAGGACTTGGAAACGTCACAGAGGACCCCCAGTCTGGGCCCCGTGGCTTCCGGAGGCTTTGGGGGACCAGGTCAGCCACTCTAGCTGTTTGGTCCTGGCCGCAGCAGAGGCTGCGCTGCCAGGTCCTGCGCAGCGGAGGGGAGCCGTTCCCGCAGAGTGTGGTTCTTGCTCACGCAAGGGAAACTTTGGGAAGGAAACGGGGCAAGCGAACTGTGCCAGCAGGCCGCTTAAGTTTTCTTTCAAGAAGATACCTCTTTCTGCCAAGCCTCTTGAAGCTTGGCAGTCCTCCCACCAGGCCTGTTGGGGGTCCCTGTAGGGGCTCATGCTCGGAGGTATGATGTGAGGTGATATCAGGAGAATGGCACTCATAAACAGAAAGTGCATCTGCGACCTTTGCTCCTGTGGCAAGCATCATTGCCCACATCCCGCTACCAAGATTTATGAGAAGACAGAGAAACCATGTTTTTTCTCCGAATACACCGAGAAGTATCCCAACTATCAATCTTACATGCCCCGAGAGTCCTTCAAACCCAAGATGGAGTACCAGAAAGCAACTATACCAATGGAAGGCCTGTCTACAACAAAGAGAGACTTTGGGGGTCACAACATGGTACCGGTGAAACACTACCATCCTGAAAAGTTCACTCCAAGCCAAGATGAAATGGATTTCCTCACAACGTATAACCAACACTACAACTACCAGCCTGCCAGTCGAGTGAGCCCCATTAAACCTCGAGACAACAGACAACCATGTACTGACAAAATGGAGACTATGCCTACGTACAAAGCCCATTATTTACCTTGGAACCAGCAAAGAAGACCTTCGTTTCGTCCACAGCAAACATACCGTCCTTCGTCCTGTAGGTTCGATCATAGAACCACACACCAGGACGATTATCCCATAAAAAATCTGGTGGATACGGTGAATTACAAACCTCCAAATGTGCCAAAGCTCTGTAATGCTCCCCTGGAGAATATGACAACTTACAGATCGACCTATGTGGCCCATCCTGTGGAGAAACGGTATGTGTTCGAGTCAGAGAAGTATAAACCATGTGAAATCCCTTTTGACGGCCTTACCACCCACAAAGATTCTTACAAGGGTTTGAGGGGGGATCCTGCGAAGAGCTGGAAACCTGTATCCAAGCACTCTGGGCTAGACATACCTTTTGCAACCAACACCGAATTTCGGGATAGATTCCAAGCTTGGCCAACACCGCAAATAGTCCCCAAAGAGCCTGTCCCTTATATCCCTCCTGAAGGGGAGATGGATCTTCTGACAACTTCACAAGCTGACTTCAAGTGCCCTAATGGTGTTGCTGCCCAGTCCTGCCGGCCAGTCTACCACATAAAGAAGAGCGACCGCTTTGAAGGCTCCACCACCACCAAAGAGGATTACAAACACTGGGCCAACGTCCGCAGAGAGCCAATCAAACCTCCTCCCCAGCTGCAATTCCCTGATGAGCCTATGGATTACATGACCACCAATCGTGCCCACTATGTGGCCCATACACCTGTCAATACCAAAAGCTGCAAGCCTCCCTGGTCCGGCCCTCGTGTAAACATCCCTGTAGAAGGCCAGACCACCTATTCTACCAGTTTTACTCTTAAGGAAATTCAAAGGTGCCCAGCTTCATATTCTGAACCCCCTGGCTACATCTTTGAGGAGGTGGATGCTGTCGGGCACAGGATGTACAGGCCAGCTTCTCAACAGAGCAACCATCTTGGCTTTGGTGACGCTGAATGTCCTAACCAGAGAGAGATGGCAGTCCGAGCCTGCCATTGAGAAATGGTTGTTTAGCAATTGAATTTGCACAGTGTATTAAAAGCAAACAATTGAGGATTATTAATTGGACACAAAAGAATTCCCCAAAATGAAACAACAGTGTAGACAAAACAACAAACTTTATTATCAATTTCAGGATATTTGAAAGAAATAAGAATCACCTAAAAAAACAACATGGAATTATCAGCTGATTGACTCCTCTTAACCCTTCCTATATTGTACCTCCCTAGCCCCACCAATGCCCCTTGCTTTATGCTCATGAAATCAAAGCTGGTCTCAAGAAAATATTTCTCTCATCTAGGTGTTTTTTATTAATCTGATCACTTGAAAAGCTTGAAGTGTCAATAATAAAATTTATGCTGGGGAAAAAGTAAAATAGTGTGATGATTCATTTTTGTTTTTTAATTCTTTAAAATTTTTCATAGTGTGTGAATTAAAACCAGACATTTATACATTCTACGCAAATACTTGACTACTGAGTTACACCTTAAGCCTTTTAGTTCCTTCTTAAGCTAAGCAGATTTCTGGTACTTACATACTGAAATTATCCAGCTTAAAATGTATCTTAGTATTTGTATTACTGCAAAAAATATGCTCACCTTAGTTTCTAGGCAGACCGCATAAGTACTACATTGGTTTAGAATACTCAAAATGTATAGATATTTTTGTATTCCTGTACTGAAAATAGAAAAAAAAACCTCATAAAATATGCATAAAAGTAACGCCTAGCTCACTAGTACATTAGCTTTGGTGTAAATAAATTAGCAAAAAGTGAAAATGACTAAGCTGTATATGGTAAAAATTTTTAAATTTCATTTGTATATTTCATTTACTTATTCATGTTTCTCTTTCTTTACAGGGTCTTTGTGTATATATCATGGCTTCCAGTGTGTTTTTATGGGATTACTGAGTGTGTAAACTAGTGGAGTTATATTTATTTCTTATGCCTTTCTTGGGTTATTTCTTTTTCTTTTGTCCTATTCCAATGTATATATATTTTTACCCCTTAGAAGCCTGTTTATTTTCTAATGAGAAACAGAAGGGATTGATCTGGATGGTGGGGCGGTGGTAGAAAGGAACTTGGAATAAAGGGAAGAGAAAACATAAACCTAAAAAACTTAGAAAAACTTTTATTATTCTATAATCTCTCAAACATATTCCTTTTTCATTTCCCTGTTGCTCATTTGTACATTTTTAATAGTGTAATACTGTTATGCCATTGTGCTTATATGATCGCTTTCTACTTTAAACTTAAAAGTAGCTATTACTTCGTGAACAGGGTAGAAGAAATGCAGGCGGAAGACCAGAGCAGCAGCTGGCACAAAGGAAAACTGCGATTTTGCAAAGAAGTCGGTTGGGAGAGCAGACTCCAGACTTTCTGGCTCCAGTCTCCTTTGTCCTTACATTCCGAGGACCCGCAACAGGGTCTTTGCCTCAGGGTTCAGTCTCCCGGCCTCTGGCCCCACCCCTCAGCTCCTGGCCCCACCCACAGACTCAGGCCCCGCCCCCGCTCCGGGTCCAGTTCTACCACTCCAGACCCCGCCCCGCCGACTCAGGCACCGCCCCGTCGCCCCACTGCCCAGGCCTCGCCCCTCCGCTTCGGCCCCGCCCCGGCCGGCCGCCATATTGGTCCTTCTGCCCAAGTCGCTAGCTGTTGGAGCTCGGGCTGATTAGCGCTCTCTACCCTTCCGTGTCTCTGACTCTCTTTCTTCTCTGGTTGCACCCAGGCGGGCTGGCCAACAGCTCCCGGGGCGTCTTGTGTGTGGCTGGAAGGTGAGCGGGGATCAGCATTCCTTTTGGGGCCGGGCCGGAGCTGGTTAAGGGTGCGCGCGCGGGGCAGGAGTCGAGGGCCACCAGGGCGAGGGGCGCGCCAAATTGGCGCAGGTCTGTAGACTGCTGGGCAACATGGGCGGCTTGTCCCCCAGTCTGATGACTGATGCAGGGAGGAAAGACGGGTTCGCACACTCAAACACACAGGAAGAGGGATACACACCCAACCACTCGGGGCATATACGCGCGCGTACGCACACAAACACACACACACACACACTCGCACACACACACGCGCGCACACACACACACGCACACCCTCACCCTCCCACACGCATAGAGAAAGAGAAAGCCACAAAACACCCCGGGAGGGAGATATACCCTAACTCAGAGCCCCAAACACTTCGGAATCGGATGGTGGAGAGATGCACAAACAGACAAATACGCAAACACCTGGGTACACACATATACCAGTCTTTCCCTTAACCACACGGGGACACCCACGCACACGAGACCAAACCTTGCGCCAGAGTGACTGACTAATGCTGGGGAAAGCAAGGACGCTCGTGTTATTTGAGTTTGGCGACCTCTGACATCCTAGCCGGTTGAGCATTTACTTAATGTCTTTGGCCCACGCAGGTGAGAGAGCTTGGAAGATAAAGCCAGGGCAAAGACCGTGTAGGCGGTTGGGAACATTGTCTGATTCAGACCTTGGCCGAGGTTTCAGAATCGCGTTCCTTCCTTTCTTCCATCTTACTAAGAGAAAAGACTAGATGAGACTTTTAAGTGCTGACCAAATGGTTGGTGTGTGTATTATTGTTTTGTTTTGTAAGCGATGGCACATCCCGTGATCATACTTCTTTTGAGGAATAACTTTTTTGCAAGTTTCCAAATTGGCACGTGACCAGTCTTTTCACACGTCCTCATAAAAATCAACAGAGTGAATTTGGTTTTTGTTTTGTTTGTAAAAGTTTTTGTCTTTTTTTTTTCTCGCTAGTTCCACTGCAGTGGACTATCCCTACACTGCCTGAAATCTCAACTAGAGTTGAAGGAAACCTGGGGTTTTCAACTAAGGATTATTTTCCTTTTTCTTTTCTCTTTCCATTGCTGGAGACCAAACCTAGGGCCTTGTACTTGCCAAGCAAGAGTTCGCTACACCTGAGCGAAATTCCCAGCTCCTCTCTTAGTGAGGGACTTAAGTAATCTGCTTTTTCTTTGTCTTTTATCATCTTCGGTCGAAGTTCTCACTAATTGTGTAGAACTCCAAAGTATCTTACACTAGAGTGCCATGTCTAACAGTGGTGTGGCAGTTTCTTGCATTCAGGGTTTTCATGTAGATTGCTGTATTGAAACGTTTATGGTTTGGAGGCTTATTGACTTAGAACATTTGGTGATTTAAGGACATTTTTGTTTTACTTTCTGAAAGGTTAGTGTAGACAAGCAAAAACTAGAACATCCATTTTTGGAGACTAGGGAAATACATTGGTGGTATTCTCTCTTTTCCAGAGATCCTTTTTACATTTTCCCCTATCCAACTACTTAAAAAATACTATAGTACTCTGGAGGCCTGAAGTTCTTTTAGTTCTCGATTTTTTTTTTAACCTCCTTCAGTTTCTTACTATTTATTGGAAGGTCTTACTCCATATCACTTGAATTGGTTTTCCTGGTGTTTCCAAAGCTATGGTTCTATTTTACAGATGATGAATTTGCTGGGATCAGGGAGGGTTAGAGCTCCTTTCCAAGGTCACCTAGGGAGTGAGGGAGCAGTGCTGATTTTCAAAGCATGTTTGTGGGCATTTTAGAGTGGTAGTTTGCACCAGGAGAAAACTTTATCTTCTCAGGGGATATTTGAAAATTGTCTGGAAGCAATTTTGGTTTATACTCCAGGTCTCACCAGGCTTCTATAGTTCTTTAAGCACAATGCCTATTTTACTATTTAGGATAGCATTTTTTTATTATTTTAAAAGCTTGCTGGGTGAAAATTTTCTTTATTAAGAGGTATATGAATACCTGGTAACAGAATTCATTTTTTTTGTTTAATGATTTTGTTTTTGTTTGATTATTTTTAAGTTGGCCTCAAACTTTGTACATTATCGGAGGCTGCCTTTGAACTCTTTCTTAATCCTCCTGCCTCAGCCTTCTAAATTCTGGGATTACAGGGATGCACTACCCCACAAGTTTTTGAATCCTTTTTTTTTTTTTTTTCCTTTGACGCTATTAGGAACCATTCCAGTGGACTTCGTAAGCTTGTTTGTTCACTATTCCATTCATCCCCAGATATTTTCTGAACTGCTTGTCGGACACTGGTACAAAGGTGCTGGCCAGAAGGAAGAGTAGTGGGGAAGCTTCCACCTTCCTGAAGCTGGCAGTCTGGTCACAGTCATAAGACCAGGTTCTGGCATGGTCCTAGAAGAGAATTTATTGTTTGGACTACTCAGGAACAGAGGTCAGGTGCTCATGAAGGAAACAACACCCACACCCAGCACAGGAAGGAGTACCTGTGTCATGTCATTCTTTTCTGGGCAGACTTGGATGAAGTGGAAAATAGTTTTTGGACTCTTGAAAGCTTTGTACAGTTGAATTAGGTGTGTACATGTTTACTAAACTACATCTGGAAACTAGCCTTTTTTTTTTTTCCGTTTCCTCCATAATAGGGTCTCACTGTGTGGTTTCAGCTGGTTGCAAATTCACTTAGTAGACCAGGAGGCTGGCCTGCAGCCCAATCCAGCTCACCGTCTTATTGCCTGGAGAAGCTATTCTTTTTTTTTTTTTTTTTAAATATTTATTTATTTTATTATGTATACAATATTCTGTCTGTGTGTATGCCTGCAGGCCAGAAGAGGGCACCAGACCCCTTTACAGATGGTTGTGAGCCACCATGTGGTTGCTGGGAATTGAACTCAGGACCTTTGGAAGAGCAGGCAATGCTCTTAACCTCTGAGCCATCTCTCCAGCCCCAGGAGAAGCTATTCTTAATTTACATAAGGTCTGACTTAAATTTAGCCTCATTAGATAATAGTTACACAGGTGTTTTATTGTTGAAATCAAGAAATACAATGATAAAAAATTTAAAATAACATTTGCAAAAATTTTCTTTTTAAAGATTTATTTATTTTTGTTTTTATGTGTATAGGTGTTTGCCTGCATGTGTGTCATGGGCACTTTCTTTCGTAGTGCCCATGGAGGCCAGAAGAGGGTAATGGATCCCCTGGAACTGGAATTTACAGCTGGGCATAAGATGCTCCATGGGTGCTGGGAATCCAATCCAGATCCTCTGAAAAAGCAGTCAGTGCTCTTACCTGCTGAGCCATCTCTCCAGGCCAAATAATTTTCTTTTTGGTGTTTTTCAGCCTGTTTTTTCCGTGGTTTTGAGACTAGTCTTGAGACTAGGCCTTTCATGCTGCTCCATTCTAGTGTCAGTTATTACTGTTAGGTGAGCCTTTGGGATGGGTGTGTGTGTGTGTGTGTGTGTGTGTGTGTGTGTGTGTGTGTGTGTGTGAGAGAGAGAGAGAGAGAGAGAGAAGGGTTGAATCTCTTTAGGATTTCCTGGGAAGACATTCACATGGTCGGTAGGTTGGTTTGTGGGTGTGAAAGTGTATGTATGTATGGTATGGATGCACATGCGTGTATGAAGGCCAGAGAAGGATGTGGAGTGTTCAGTTCTATGTTCCACCTTTAGTCCTTTGAGACAGTCTCCTACTGAACCTGGAGCTAGGCTGCTGGTCAATAACCAGCAGTAATTCTGGTGTTTATGAGACCACATCCAGTTTTTCTGTGGGTTCTGAGGATTTGAACTCAGGGCCTCTTACCTGTATAGCATGCTTTCTTACCCATGGAGCCATCGCCCCAGCTCTGTATCTTTGGCTTTTGACTCCTGCCTCTGCACAGTATTTTTTTAAGCTAGTGAATATAGATTTCTCTACTGCTTACCAGATGCTTTCTGCTGTGGTGTGTGGGGGCGGGGGCGGGGGAGGGAGGGGTACAGGATTGCCGAATTTCACATCACCTAAAAATGATTGCCCGCACATGCATTCTAAAAGAGGTATGTGGGTTTTTGTTTTTTTTTCTGGAATGGTCAAGAGGACTTGGTGCCAGGGAATCTTGCTCAATCATTGCTTGTCTTGCTACTCTCGCATACTTAGGTCACTTACATTTCTTTCTTTGTAAAAAGATACATTGCTTCCTAATGTCTGCAGGAGTGTGTGTGTTTGTGTGTGTGTGTGTGTGTGTGTGTGTGTGTGTGTGTGTATCAGGTAACGACAGCAAATCATTAGCTGCCACATAATTCTGCCCTGAGCAGTTTGTTGGTTAAGCAGCAGGAGGAAATAAGCCAATTAGAAGTGGTGCCCAGTGAGGCTAAGTTGAAAGCTATGTAGATAATAAAAGCTAGTATAAGAAAATAGGGTTTGTAACTACCAGGTCATCCACAGAGACCATTTATTAAAGAGCTGTTGGGGAGGGGAGGAACTGAAGTCAGAAAACGCCTCAGGAAGTTTGGTGGGAAGTCAGGAAGCAAATGAAAGGATTCCTGAGGCAGGACACCTGGAGCCACCTAGGTATGTGGGTGGTGGTGATGGGGGTGTAGGGCAGGCCTGTAGCAGTTCCCAGCCTGCTTTGCCTCAGGGTGCCTGGGCTGCTTAGATAACTTGGAGGAGAAATCTCTTTCTCAATGTGACTCTTGATATTGTACATATTGTGATGTGCTTTGGGTATTTCCACATTCTGGATTTTTCCACTATGGTTTCTTAATTTTTGACCCTGATGATTTCAGACTGTAGAATGTCATTGCATTGGAGACACAGACAGGACGTGGAGATGTAGTTAAGGTATTAAGATAACAGCTCTGTATGAGGTAGAGAGAGCGTGTTTCAGAAGTATAGAGAAGTAAAGCAGGCAGGCCCAGCTTTACACTCGGTGGACACAGACTTCACTTTTGTCTTAGGCTGAAAGCATTATAAATGTTTGCCATTGTGTTGACAGGGGCTGGGTAAACAGTATGGAAGGATTGCATGCATCCATTCCATATCAGCATTTCTTTTAATCTAAGGGGAAATAATAGCAAAACAGTAATAAGGACTGAACTAGTTTCATCCCAGGTTTTTGTGATTTGGATTAGGTGCTCGGGTACAGAAGTGAAGAGCTTCCAGGAGGTTGCTGCTCATAGCTGTGTTAGCAGTGTTAGAGAAATGTGAAAAGGCCTCACACTTATTTCAACATCTTGATAAGTAGAACACCAAAAGGTCGTAGTGTTGATGATTCTAACAGGGCCACAAGGCCAGGTGGGGTAGTGCACACTTGTAATCCAGGCATTTGGGAGACAAGAGACAGGAGAGCAGGATTTAGAGACTGTCCTTGGCAATAAAGGAAGTTCCAGGCCAGCTTGGACAAAATGAGACCCTGTCTCCAAAACAAAGTAGAATAAAAACAAATGGAAATCTCTGGATTGCTTGTTGTCTTTAGCTTACAGGGTCACTGTAGTCTGTGGTTTCAAGCTTGTATATTTGATCTGGTAAGTGTACCTGAAATACATACACAGTGTAGCAGGAAGTCAAATCAAAGACATTGCTATGGGGCCACATGTTGGTGAAAGCAGAGTAATCTGGAATGCATTTTAATACCCCCCACCCCCAAGACAGGGCTTTTCTGTGTAACAGCCCTAGCTGTCCTGGAACTCGGTTTGTAGATCAAGCTGGCCTCTAACTCACAGAGATCCACCTGTCTCTGCCTCCCGGGTCCTGGTGCCATCACCACCTGGCCAAATTCTAATATTCTTAAATAAGATTGAAAAATAAAAACAGTTGTTTTGAGCAGCAGACAACTGCCATCCTTTAATCTGCCTTTAATTTTTTTTCTGCGATCCTGGGCAAACTCAGCTTCACAAAGTTATGTCATCAGAAGGAATGTGTGCAATGTGGTGTTGAAATTGTGAACTCCCTTGAACACGGTACCATAGGGATGCCAGCATCTGTTTCCTTTAAGCATTTAGAGTAGCCTGCCCTACGCCTGTGAAGTCGCATAGTTTAGGAACCCTATAGCATTAGAAGTTGGTGTTTTCCATTAGTGTTTACAAACCTAAAGGTTTAGTGGTAAGGAAACAAGGTGTTAAAGTTGGTTTTTAATTTCCTACCACTCCCCTTCCAGTAAGTCTGCAAGCTTTTCCCCTGGACTTGTAGTTTGGGAATGCTGGTAGTTGGGTTGCTGGCCTCAGAGGAGCAGGGACTGCAAAGGAAAGCACAGGCCGGGCTTCCCCTCCATCCCTTCTTTTATTTTTTATTATATGCACTTGTTCAGGAAGTTAAGTGTGCTGGGATGGTTGGAGGGGTGGCTGTTCTTTCCCAGAGTGATCTAGCTTTCAGCCTTTACCTATCTAGGTGGTTGGAAAATTCCTGGAGAGCTAAGCAGTACTTTTTATAGTCTTGTGGCTGACTTTCCTTGTCAGTCAATTCTTCTTGAGTTTCACACTGCCACCACTGTAGGATTAGCTTTCCAGTCTCTAAATTTTGTTGCTGATTTTCATCTAAAATAGGTTTTTATTTTTTTTTGGTGACTTTTTTTTGGCTGTGTTTTTTTTTTTTTTCTGTCATTTGGTGGGGGTGAGGATAACACTTTTGACTTACCATGTTTACTTGGGCCTGGAGATGGTATTTAGTCTTTGTTAGCTTTCTGCTGATCTGCGAAGCATGGGGGATGGTGTCTGATCTACAGGAGGTTTTAAGGGGCATGTCTCAGATACTGTGACAAAATGGAGAGGCCACTTAAGAAATGGGCCTCTGGACATTCCTGTCTAAATGAGGTGGGAGGAGCCCTCTAGTGTGGGGAGCACCATTTTCTGGTTGGGATTCTGAGTTGTATAAATGCTCCTCGTTGTTACGCGCTTTGACCTATCACTTCAGGTTCTGGGTTACCTTGACTTCCCCACTGTGGTGGGCTGTAGCCTTCTTCCTTCTGCCTCAACTGTACATCAAAAACTTTCTTGCTTAAGTAGCTTTACTCAGAGTATTTTATTACAGCCACAGGTAAAGAAACTAAGACAGATACTTCATAGACTGTTGTAGTAGCAGCTGTTAAGATATAGTTGTAGCACTTGATATTTAACTCAATAAGACAATGGCTAATGGGTTGGGAGGGAGGTAGACAGAATTCTTTGTACGGTTGACTCAGGTAGATAAGACAAGCGAGGTCTTGAAGGATAAATAGCATGGTTTGACATTCAGTTTGAGTACTGTCCTGATAAAGGGGTTGGACATTCTTGTGTGGCCCTGAGGTGTGAGAGTGAAGGTGGACTTCAGGAATCACCAGTGTTTATAGCTAGTGGGAAGACGAGTGGACTTCAACCTCAGATTACAGTCTTTGAAAGATTGTTAAGAATGGGAGCCACCTGGCTGAGAGAAGCAGAGCCAGCCTCTTGTCAATAGTTTCATTTTAGGAACATTTTCAAGAGGGAGAGGGTCATGTGCATTTTTGACCTCATTGAGGCATTAATGGGGACTGACTAGTCCTGTTTAAGACATGCCTTAAAGGTGGATCCCACCTTGCCTCTGGTGCTAGCAAGATACTTTGTCAAGTGGGCCTCCATTTCCTTAGTTGTTTTAGAAAACTTGATTACCCTTCTAAGATTCTGTGGCATGCACATCTTCAAGGAAATTGCTGTGTGTTACCATGGCCACAGGTGGAGGGACAAAAACCATCCCTCCAAAACCAAAAACACCCTTTCACTCTTCTTTCTATTCACCTTAGGGCCCCGTGTTGAGAAGTGGAAAGAAGCCATTGGATTGGCTAATGGTCATTTTCTGATGACTCGCTGATGTTCCAGGGAATGGAGGTGTGTAATTCTGGAGAGTTAATCTAGTGTGGAGGCAGATGGGGAACTAGGCAATGAAGGGTAGAGTAAGTAAGTCTAGGCTTGGAAAGATTTCCTGTGAGAAGTGTCCATTCCAGCATCTCAGTAGGGCTAAACTGGGTGCCACTGGAGAGGTGTCAGTTACATCCAGTAAACAGAACTGAGGAAGATCTCCTTACAGTGTCTGGCATTGGACAGCTTACAACTTCTTTTGTGTGTAGGATGGAGTTTCCAAGCCTCTAATCTAGTTGAGTCTTAAAACAGCTGCTCTTACTATATACCATTCGTCAGCGACCAAGAGCAGCCTCATGCCTCAAAGTCTCTTGGTATTGAAACTCAGAGGTAGTGTACCATAACCCACATCAAAGTTAGATGAGGGTCAGAGTAAGCTTGAAATGTTCGTTCCTGGCAGAGCATAATATAACAATTATTTTCAGTTAGTTTAGTTTACATTAATTATTTTGTTTAATACATCTGGACCATGGTCAAGGTCATGGAAATCTCAAATGTGTTGCTAAGGCAGTTGTGACTGTTAGGGAGGGCGGGGGCTTGACTGAGAACTGTCTAAGCAAACAAAATGGACTCAGGACAAAATTACGTTGGTCACTTTAATATGTTGTAGATTGTATTTGGTTTGTGTTTTGCTGATTTTATTTTTCCAATATACATGTTTAAATTCATTCCTTTCATAATTTGTTTCTTCTTTAAACTCTCAGCCATAATTCCTAGTATTTTTTTTCTTAGATAGGGTCTTGCTTTGTAGCCCAGGCTAGCTTCAAAATTGCAGTCCTCTTGCCTCAGCCTTCAAAGTGTAAAGATTACAAGTCTGGGATATCATACCAACTTCCCATTATTCCTGTGGCTTTTTCTCTGTTTCTTTCTGTTTTCATTTTGCCTTTTAAAATTCAACCTAAAAGTGGGCATCATGGCACACACCTTCAGTCCTAACTATCAGGGATGTAAAGGCAGGTGGACATCTGTGCTGTCTCTGGTTTACATTGCCAAGTCCAGGACAGCCAGGGCTACATAAAGAAGGCTGAAAAAGTTTGAGGCTGAAGAAACAGCCTTAAACTATTCCTACTCTTTTCTTTTTGGGGGAGCATTGTTTTATGGACTAGTGAGGTGACTCAGTGTCAGAGACCTGAGGTTTATGCCTAGGACCCACATAGTAGAGGGAGAGAACCACAAGTTATCCTCTGTGTCACACACACACACACACACACACACACACACACACACACACAAGTAAATAAATAAAATGCACTAAAAATTAATGCTAGGCCTAGTGGCAAGTGAGAAGACCAGAATTTGATCTCTAAAACCCAGGCGAAAATGCCAGGCTTGGTATCAAAAACTTGTAATCCCAGCACTAGGAGGTAGAGACAGGAGGATCCTTGGGGCTCCTTGCTAGACGTTTAAGGCAATGAAAGATCCTGTCTCACAAGGTGGATGACATCCAAGGTTATTCTGTGGTTTCTATATGCAGTGCCCTCGTGCACACATACACAGGCCACACCATACATACCACAAATGTGGTGCAAGCCCACGTGGGATTCTAGGGATTGGCCCTCTCATGTTCATTCATCACACTGTAGACCTCCATTGTCTAATGCAGTAGTCTTTAATGTTGTGGAATGCTTTAATGAAAATGAAGTTAAAGATTCAGTTAGTTAAGCAGACTAACCACATTTCAGATGTTCATTGGCCACATGTGGTTTGCTGGACATCTCTAGCAATACAGAAAGCTCTGAATTATCTGTTATTTAGTTGCTTAATTGAATCTTTTCTCCTCTTGCCATATATAACTACAGCAGTGCTCTTAATGAAAAAATTAATGTGTGTTTATATTAGATGCTTCATTTTCCATAAAGTGTACTTACTGAAATGAGTTACTTAAATACAGTATATGCTTTGTCAGTGGTAGTTTATTTATGCTTTGATTTCCACAGTTTTTTTGTTTGTTTTATTTACCTTTCTATTTCACCTGACCACCCACCCCAGACAGGATTTCTCTGTGTAACAGCTCTGGCTGACCCAGAACTAGATCTGTAGACCAGGCCTGCCTCGAACTCAAAGAGATCTCCCTGTCTTTGTCTCCCCAGTGCTGATACTAAAGGTGTGCACCATCACCACCCACACCACTGCCCAGCACAACCTAGCCAAATCTTAAGCCTCCAAATTGGCCTGTTCTTGTTATTTTCCTTAGTTCTGGTTTGTTTTTGCTTGTTTTGTTACCCTCTTGCTATAGAGCTGGCACCCGTTAGGCTTGCATCTCATTCATTTTCTCTCTCTCCCCCTCCCTCCTCCTCTAATAGTCAAATTTGAGCTGTGTAGCCCAGGCTGACTTTGAACTTGTGATCTATGCTCTTCAACTCCTGAGTTTACTGTTTTACAGGCATGTGCCGCCCTGCACTGCCTGAAGCCCAGCTTCTTTTTTTCCTTAAATAAATATGACCTTCTTTCTATATAGTTTATTTAGCTTTATTTTTATGTGTATTGGTATGAAGGTGTCAGATCTCGTGGAACTGGAATTACAGAGTAGTTGTGAGCCATCATGTGGGTGCCGAACCTGGGTCCTCTGGAAGAGAAGGCAGTGCTCCCAATTGCTGAGCCATCTCTTCAGCCCCGAAGCTCAGTTTCTTAAGCTATGAAATTAAGTGAAATGGTAGCTATGCCTCTAATTAGGATATTCAGGGTGAATAAATGCAAAAGGAACTTGTGAATTTGGGGAGAGGAAAGAACCTTTCTAAATTTAAAACAGGAGTGATAAATTCAATTAAAATATTTAGGAGTGAGAAGTCACAAAGGGAGTGTGAGTTTTTGAAGTTTCGAAGTGGTTTACCAAAAGGAGCTTGCTCTCCCTTTAGTACCTTATAGAGGAATGTGCTAGATTTTCAGCATGTGCATGCCCACTCCTTGCTGATCTCTGTAAAATATCTTAACTGATTTTCTTATTAGAATTGCAAGCATCAGTTTTTCCCTCATATTTTAATGGATATCAAAAATAAGAGGAAGAACTTACATGTAAGTATAGATAGAAACAATAATAGAATAACAAAAATAAAAAGGAAATGATTTATTCTAGTATTTATTTGCATTTCACCATGCACAGAACATTTTATTCAATGTGGCAGACAAAAAATAGGACAAATGAATTGTCTTCATTAGGGTTCTACTGCTGTGTTAAATACCATGGCCGTAAAAACTTGGGGAGAAAAGTTAATCTCATCACTGCCCATTTCCCCATCTGCCTCCATACCAAATTAACCTCCACTGAGTTATTTCCATTTACAACTCAGGTCACATCAAGGCAGGAACTGATAAAGCCATGGATGACTGCTGTTTACTGTTTGTTCTTATGGCTTGCTCAGCCTACTTTCCTATAGCAGCCAGGGCCACCGCGCCCAGGGGTGGTACTGCCCACATTTAGCTGTGCTCGCTCATCTCAATCACCCATCAAGAAACTGCACCACAGGCTTGCTCACAAGCCAGTCTAGAGGGAGCATTTTCTTAGCTGAGGTTTCCCTCTTACAAAATGACTCTAGCTTATGTCAAGTTGACATAAAACTAACCCCCACATGAACGAATGGCGTAGATATTTGTGTACCTCCTGGGGAGTTGACATTGTAATTGGAAAACAGACGTGCAACTGGGAGCTTTGTAAGTAAGTGAAAAACCTGGTGAGGGTGGGAATGACAGTACAAAGAAGACAGAGATGTCATGGAGGCCTCTTGGATGAGGTGATCTGAGCTAGGCCTCTGATGGCTGAGTTTTGCAGCTATTGTGGTAGAAAGGTGCCTCCTGGACCAAGATCACAACCCAGGCAAAGATAGGCAATCCCCTGGAGGCAGAGAGAGCTTTGCATGGGAGTGTGAGTTGCACAGATACTGGGACAGACTTGAGAGGTTGGATAGCAGTAGTGCTCTAACCCACTGAGCTATCTCTCCAGCAGCCTTAGTTAGGAAAATAATTTCTACTTGGCTCAGAGCTAAACTTTTTTTAAACAAGATTTCATTTTCTTTCTTTTTGGGGAGAAGGTGGTTGTAGAATAATACGAACTCTTTTTTTTTTTACAACCAAGAAGAAAATATGAGCATTTTATTTTTATAATGGTATATATTTGTGTTATTATGAATATTTTAAGAAGCATATTTCATTTTTATTAGAAGGCATGGTAGACATGTTGAGTACTAAATTCTGAATGGCAAATGTTAGGAGCATGACTAAAGAGGTTCAGTCGGAATTGGAAGTATTTGAGAGAGGGTGAGGTTTAGCTGCATTGGTTAAGTGGATGTAAGAGTTAGCCAACTTACCAATAAAAGGGGTGGGGATGGGGGCGAGCAACAAGAAAATCTTGTGGTGAACATCTTACTGGAGAGGGGAGAATCAAACAAGACAACCACCTCAGTTTTTATACTTGAGTGAAGCTGACACTATGGGCAGTGTGACAGATTGTGAGGTATCCATCCTGACTTCACTTGAGGTCTTCTCTTCCTGTCACTTGCGGCTCTTTTGTTTCTGTGGCAGCGAGTTACTTTTCTGGGCTCTATCTTACCGAGTCTTCTACTACTGAAGGTATTTCAGTGGCTTTTCTTAATCTTAGGGTTTAGGCAGAAATCCTATGCAGGATTCGGCCCCATCTTCCTAGTCAACTTAATTCTTCAGCTGCCTAATGGTCTCCCAGTCCATGCCAGCACCAGCAGGGTTCCTAGGCAGAGCCTTGGCATGTGTTGGTCCATTGTTCTGGTTCTGGCTCTTTTCTTTTCTGAATCAGATACCCTCTCCCTTGGAGTCAGACATTGGTTAAATAAGGCTGCTTCCTAAAGGCAGTGTGTGGCTAAAATGGTCATTGAGATGTGGTTGGAACATAACACACTAGAAACCTACATTCAGACTCTTATTAAGATAGTGTAACACAACCTGGTTTTCTCTGGTACCGAAATTATTATTTCTATTTTTTATTTTTATTGAACTATACATTTTTCTCTGTTCCCCTCCCTCTCTCCCTTCCCCCTCCCCTTCTACACTCTCCCGTGACATCCCCCTCCACGCCCAATTTACTCAGGAGATCTTGTCTTTTTCTCCTTCCTATGTAAATCCATGTATGTATCTCTTAGGGTCCTCTTTTTTGTCTGGGGCTGTGGACTGTAGGTTGTTTTTTTTCTTCTTTTTTTCTTTATGTTAAGAAGCCACTTATGAGTGAGCACATCAGATTGTTCTTTATAGATCCTGCTGTAGTTGGGACTTCATGTAGGTGTTACTATCAGGGCAGAACTGTGTGGTTTGCATCATTAATGTGTGGTGCATAATAGGTGCTGTCTATATGTGCTGGAAATCTGCTTTCACCCGTTTTATGAAACTGGAGGCTTCTGTGGAGATAATGAAGAACACTGCAGACTTTGACTGTGTTTCCCTTAAAACATTTTTTAAATACAATACACTTGGTTGGGGGGTGTGGCTCAGTTGGAGTCTTACTTAGCATGCATGCAGCCCTGGGTTTAACTTTCAGCACCTCACAAAACTGGGTATGATAGGGCACACCTATAATATTGGTTCCAGAGGTAGAGGCAAGAGGTTTCAAGCTCATGCTTAGCTAAGTACTGAGTTTGATGCCACCCTGTACTACATGAGACCGTACCTCACAAAAATCAACAGGAACAAAAAACCCATAGCATACTCGGGCATACTTTATGTTACATATTGGCAGATTAGCCTACTAGTTCTGTTGAATTATCTTGTTCTTGTGCAGACCTTGGAAAAAAATGAAGACGCGAAAAGACTTACTGCTTCCACCTGCTTATTTCCTTTGTAACTACAGCAACAACAGTAAGCCCCTCAAAAGAAAAAAAAAAGCAGTTGCACTTAAAGTAGCCCAGCCCAGTGGGTTAAGTGTTTGGGCTTTGGACTATTCTTCAATATTAAGAGCTTAACTGTTTTACTAGCTGTGATTTTGCATCATATATAAATAAGCTCTCAAGCCTATCAGGCAGTAATAGGAAAAGTTATATCTTAAGTACTGTTCTATTGCTGTGAAGAGACACCATGACCAAGGCAACTTATACAAGAAAGCAGTTAATTGGGGGCTTGATTACAGTTTCAGAAGGTGAGCCCATGGCTGTCATGGCAGGGAGCATGGCAGCAGGCAGTTAGGCATGGCACTGAAGCAGTAGCTGAGAACTTCTATCTAATCCACAAGTAGAGAAAGACAGACTAACTGGAATGGCTGAACTTTTGAAATCTCAGAGCCCACCCTTAGGGACATACTTGCCTCCACAAGACCACACTGCCCAAGCCTTACCAAACAGCTCTATCTACTGGGACAAAGCATTCAAATATGTAGGCTGTAAGGGCTGCTCTCATTCAAACCACCACAGATAAGAAACCTGAGAAGTAAATGTGGGGTCACAGGGCACATGGCATACAGGGCTCTATCAGTGTTAGCTGCTGTTTTATCATTAATCCTAAATGTTGGCATTTTAAAGAGTCATGTTTTAATTGGTTGAGTGTGTAAGTTAAGGACTGCTATATATAAGTTTCACAAAATTACCCTTTCTTTTCTTTTAAAAATGGTGATTGTGGTGGTGGGGTGGCTGCTGGAGAACTGGATTATCATATAAGAGCACCTGCTGCTCTTCCAGAGGACTTGAGTTCAATTCCTAGCACCTATGTCAGGTTGCCTCATAACTGCCAATAACTGTACTGTGGGCCTGGTGAAGTTGGTGGGATCCAGCTTCCTTTTCTGGCCTCAGCCATCACTCCCCCTCCCCCACATACACTCAACACACATACATATAAATATACATATAAATAGTAAAAAATATTTTTAGAGGGTGGTATGTGAGTATGGGGCTCTTTGGCTTCCTAACGAAGGTCTGCATATAATTCATTCTGCTTATAGCATTTTATAGCCATTAAACTATCTATAAAATTGCCTATTTGAGACTCGATGTTCTCATTCCACAGAAAGTTCCTACACTTTTCTAAAAGTCTAGAACTGTGTTGAAAACCTGTGTGCAGTTATCTGAGTAAATGTTTCAGTAGCCCTTGGAGGTAGATATTGCTGACCCTGCTGTTCCCATTTGGTTTCAGGGAATTAAGTTTGCCCACACTTGGGCCATGCCCCTTGCTTGGTTGGTCCTAGGAACATGTTCTCCCTCCGGCCACTGCTCTCATTCATGCATGGAAGACTTTGCTTTTTTGCTTTGGCTGCCCAGAGGCTTCATGACACTGTACTACCTCTAGATCTTGGTCTAACTCTGGATCATATTGGTGCCTCTTTCTCCCTTTGCTCCTCTTTTTTTTTTAGGCTGAGGTAGATAGCATTTAGGTATTTTTAAATTAAAAATGTAGATGTAGTCAAATGGTTTTTTTTTACAGTTAATTATTTTTACACTTAAAATTATGAAAAAGGTACAGGTCTGCAATCCTAGTTACTCTGGAGGCCGAGGTAGGAGGATTAAAATTCAAGGTCCGACCTAGACTACAGGGCAGGTTCAGAGCCAGCCTGGGCAATGTAGTGGGACCTGACCTCAAAAGTAGTAAAAGGGCTGGGGTTACCTAATTCACTGGTAGAGCTTGCCTAACGTATACAAGGCTTTGGGTTCAATCTGTAATGCCATAGGGAAAAAAAAATCATCAAAACACACGTATATCACTAATGTGAGCTTTGATTTTTTTTTTTCTGCAGATAATAATGATGCTTGAACTGAACTACTAAGGTAAAGTTCATGACCTTACCTTATTAAGCCTTTTTTATTCAGATGTCTTTCTTGTAGAATTTAGCTGTTAAACTTGATGAAGATTATTGCTTTTAGTTTATTGCTTTTAGATAGTCTTTCCAATTATGGAATATCAGAGTTCATATTACATTTACTTTTAGCTTAATTTTTAAAGTTACATGGTAGGATTTTTTTATTCCTTTAGCTTATGCTAAAGAAGTCGCAAAGGTTTTATTGCTTTTAGAAAAGAATAGTGGGCCTCAGTGGTTAATAGTGTTTGTACTAAGCTGGATGTGGTGGCACATACCTTTAATCCTGGCACTTGGGAAGCAGGCTGATCTCTGTGAGTTCGAGGCCAGCCTGGTCTACAGAAGGCGTTCCCGGATAGCCAGAGCTGCTCCCTGTCAGGAAAATAGAACAAAAAAATGAATGAATCAATTTTAAAAAAGTATTTGTACTGTTGCAGTTTGGTTCCCAGCACCCATGTAATAAGCAGCTCACAACTGCCTGCAACTCTTGCTCAAAGGACTATATTGCCCTCTTCAGAGTTTTGTGGTCATCCACCCCCCCCCCCTCCCCCCCCTCTCTCTCTCTCTCTCACACACACACACGCAAAAATAAATTGAAAAGAACAGGCAGGAAACATTTTTATGTCCATAAGCTTGCTGTGATTATGTTAATAAGTAGATTAAATGAGGTTGGCTTCTCTTAAGTATCATTGGAACTAAGATGGTTTATATACTTATAACACCATGTGTATTTGTGTACAGATCTAAGGTTAGAATCAAAGAGGTGGTCATGTGTATTAATAATGTTAGCAAAGGCCCCTATATTCCCAAGTAGGAATGTCCGGGAGTCCCCAAACAGTCAATGTGCATGTCAAAAATATTACCTGGTGTGTGGAATTTGCAAATGTAAAATTTCTTTTAAAATGTCACGAATAGAAAATCCCATTTAATTAGGACGAAAAGGATCACTACAATTATGTAAGTCTTAGTCTTCCTCTCACAATAGATCATGGAGCTTTTGTGTTTTTGTCAGTTAAAAACTGTGACAAGAACATCGATGGGGGTGATGGGAAAGGGTTTCCAGTAGAGGCAGTGACCAAGCTGAGGAGGTCTGAGGGCCCAGTAGTTGGGTTTGGGGTGCGAATAGGAGCATCACCAAGGTGAGGGAGCAGTGCTTAGTTGTATAGACATAGACAGTGGCATAGACAGTGAGTTGTTGCATGGCATTCCTGCAAGTAAACATCCACTTACCTAGATAGGGAATTGACAACAGAAGCTAAAGACTAGCTTGGTGAATCAGTGTGTTTTACTGAAGTGCGTACAGGAATATGGGTTGAGGGGTTACTTAAAGGAGCGGAAATGTTGCACATAGACAGCTGAATCCCTTCCCATCATTGATGACAGCTTTTGTGAAAGGTAGAAAACCTGCTTGGAGCTCACTGCACAGCCTGCAGGTAGCTCAACAGGTTGGAGAGTGTCCATTCCTAGTGGTTAGGTTGATCTGAGCCTTTTCTAGGCAGCTCTGCCATGTTTTGTTTCTTCTAAGCCAGTGGTTCTTAAACCTTCCTAATGCTGCAACCCCTTAATATAGTTCCTTTTCATGACCCTCAACTATAAAGTTATTTTCGTTGCTACTTTGTATCCTCTAACTCACACACTGAGAACTATTGTTTTAAGCACTTTAACTAGACTCTGCTTCTTTAATTTTTTCCTTCCCGCCCTCTCTCTGGAGGGTACTAGTGAATCTGGTGAGTTTCAGGGGCTTCCTAAACTATTCCGAATTGTTTAATTTCTGTCTTAGTGAACTTCTGTTGGGGGGATTTCACTTCCCCGTAAATACTCTATGGCAGGTTTTAATCTGAGAGGAAATTTACACAGTTGTGGGATGACCAAGTCAAAGTTGAGTTTAGTTCTTTAAGTCTGAAGAATAAACCATTAAATAATTTTAATTATTTTGGGCAAGTTTCAGATGCTTTCCCTATGTTGAAATATAGCACAATGGGGACATATTCTGAGAAATACATCATTACATGATTTCAATGTACTGTGGACATCCTCGAGGGTGCTTACATAAACCTAGGTGGGGCTGGTCAGTCATTTGCCAGGGCCTCATGATATAATTGTGAAACTGGATAAGCATAAGATAATGTTTGGCTTGTTATGGCTTCAACTTTGTGCTTCTCTTGCGTGCTGGGATTACAGGCATAATATATGCCATCACCCAGTTCTTTGATCATTTTTATTCATTTTTTTCTACTAACTTGATTTCCCTCACTAAGCTGTTTTTTTTAACCTATAGCAGAACATAGTTAGAAATGAAGAATTCTTTTATGTTACAAAAGTATTCAGTAATACTGGATACTTTCACATTTAATAAGAAGACAAACAGACAATATCTACTACACTGGTAATAGAAATTTATCCTAGTAGATAAAGCAATTATTCTTCATTTCTCAACTATTTTCCCACTGTGGGAGTCAACAATATTCACTTTCATGACAAACTAATAACTATTCTTATTTTAGAACTCTGCTGTCTAATATAGCTAAGGGCTTTTTAAATGTGGCCATTTAAATTAGCTGAAACTAAATAAATGGGGACAGAAATGTAGGGTTTTTTTTAATGCTTAGCATGCACAAGGGCCAACTCCCAAGCACTTATCAAGTGCTCAACAGCCACATATAGCTAGAGAGTACCATATTGGGCCTTTATTATTAGGTAAAAAATATTTTTGACGGTGTTCATGTAAGAAACTTATTTTCCTTCATAAAATTTAATATACTTAACAGATACTTAAATCTTAAATATTTCCATATTAGATGATTTAGTTTGATTCAACTCAAGTAGAAACAAAGTAGAAAAGGAGTTAACGAGCAATCAGGATTTCCCTTAGGTTGATAATTGGTAAAAATGAGGCTAGATTTTATGTGTTTTCCCACCCAGAAGTTTTGTGTATGCTTATTTTTTTGTATTTTTGTTTTTGACAGGGTTTCTTTGTGTAGTTCTGACTGTCCTGGAACTTGCTCTTAAACTCGAGACCCACCTGCCTCTGCCTTCCAAGTGCTAGGATTAAAGACATGTGCCATGGCTGGCCCGACTTTGAAATTTTTTTTACGATGAAAAATTAAAACAAAATATCAAGTAGGGACAGTGTTTCCATCAGCACTCAGATGTAGCCGTCAGTCATAGGTATCAGAAGTATCCCCCCTCCACCCCAGACTGACTCATAGTGTAGGAAAGTTTTTAAATTCTACACCTGGACTTCTTTAAAGGGTATGTATAATTACATTTTCACCTGATTGATTTTCATTTTACTTTATACATAAATGTCATGTGGGGCTGGGGAGATGGCTCAGTTGCTAAAGTACTTGTTTTGGAAACATGAGAACCTGAGTCGGGATCCCCAGTACCCATGTATAAAGCTGAGTATGGAAATGTACCTATAATCCCAGCACTGGTGAGGCAGAGACAGGAGGTTGTATGGTTTGTTTGCTGGCCATCCAGTGTAGCAAAATCTGTGGAGCTTTAGGTGAGAGACAAACTCTACTTCCCTGCTCAAAATAAAAACAGTGGAAGACATCTGACATTGACCTCTGTCCTCCACGCTTGCTTATATGTGTATGCACCTCCCCCACCAGAGTGGGTAGGCATTTGCTAAGAGTTGGGAGCTGCCCGGATGAGTTTGAGTCTTAGGCTAATGCTGTTGACACTGATCTTAACAACTCAATAGTATTTCCAATGAAGACAGTAAGCTCTTTGTACTCTGTGGTTGATCGATTTTTATTTCTTAGCTGAATCAGTGAGCTTCTGGAAGGATCTGGATTTCCTGCTCCATAGTGCCTGTGTCTGAAGTGAGAAGGGGAAGGACAGTAGGAACATATATCAGTGAACTGGGATTGAGGGGCTGTTTGAAGTTAAAGAAATTTATGGACTTTGGATGCTTGGCATCTATCAGTTTAGAGTGGCTGGGGCTTGGATGAGTTTATGATAGTGATGGTTCAGAGAAAGGTCTTTGAGGTTATATTTGGTCTCAAATTCAGCTTCACAGTCAGCAAGAGTGAGACTTGACTGTTATTTCTAGGGAATAATGAAAATGGATAGGGGTCCGTATATGTCTAAGAGACAGTAAATAACAGGTCTCATTATTTAGGTAGTTCTTTTGCAAAGAGGAATCAGGGCTATGCATTTTTATTTCACTTAAATGCTGATTTTGTTAGAATTGTGTGGATTGCTACAGTATAAAGGCATGTAATGGTATCTTTTTTTTTTAAACAGGATTCTGAAGTCAAAATAGTATAAATACTATTAATAATGGCAGGAAAATCGTCCCTTTTTAAAGTAATTCTTCTTGGAGATGGTGGAGTTGGCAAGAGTTCTCTTATGAACAGATATGTAACCAATAAATTTGATGCCCAGCTCTTTCACACAATAGGTGTGGAATTTTTAAATAAAGATTTGGAGGTGGATGGACATTTTGTTACCATGCAGATTTGGGACACGGCTGGTCAAGAGCGATTCCGAAGCCTGAGGACACCATTTTACAGAGGTTCTGACTGTTGCCTGCTTACTTTTAGCGTTGATGATTCACAAAGCTTCCAGAATTTGAGCAACTGGAAGAAAGAATTCATATATTATGCAGATGTGAAAGAGCCTGAAAGCTTTCCTTTTGTGATTTTGGGCAACAAGATTGATATAAATGAACGGCAAGTGTCTACGGAAGAAGCCCAAGCCTGGTGCAGGGACAACGGCGACTATCCTTACTTTGAAACGAGTGCAAAAGATTCCACCAATGTTGCAGCTGCCTTTGAGGAGGCAGTTCGAAGAGTTCTGGCTACAGAAGATAGGTCAGATCACCTGATTCAGACAGACACAGTCAATCTGCACCGAAAGCCCAAGCCAAACTCATCTTGCTGTTGATGGCATTAAAGAGATGGTCGTTGCATTCTCTCACACACACACACACACACACACACGAGAGGAGGGTTCATCTACTAATAAAATTCAACTAACGAATATTGATTGCTGCCTCATTAGTTGGTGGGAAAAGGGACACATTCACTCTGGAGGAAAATCTATTTACTCGGTAATGGCACCTTACCTTTATAAATTGTAATGGTTGTCTGTTTGATTTAAAATTAGTGCTAATAAGATGACCAAGAATTGAATTGTAATTCAAACAAAAGCCTTGAATATTCTAGAAGTTACACTTAGGTTGTTTTCCCCACAAGAAAATGGAAAATTACTTTTATATGTGTATATTTTTATGTAATTAGCATTCTATTCTTGGTCCAGGGAAGTAAATTCCTATAACAATACTATTAAAGATCAAAATCTAATGCATTTATGTTGCGATGCTTTTTGATTTGATGACTTATTCATTCTACATATTAGAATTTATCTCACATTTATTTGTGTAGCATACACATATCCCCTTCCCAACATAGGAGCTAGCTTTTTAGAAGAATCTCATGCATTCTAGGTTGACCTTTGAACTTCTGGTCTTGCCTCCACCTCCTGAGTGAGGGATTACAAGCACGAGCCTGTGCTGCCATGTCTAATGCATGACAGGCGAGCTTTATCTTCAGCCTAAGATTGTACTTCCTGAGGGGTGAAGGCAACCATATCTACATAGGTATTTCCTTCATATCCTCTCTATCACTATTTCATGAATTTGCTTTGAAAACTTTATTTTAAAAAGACAGCTTGCAGCAATGATCTGTCTTAGTTGGGTCACTACTGCTGTGATGAAACACCATGACCAAAAAGCACCTTGGGGAGGAAAGTTCATTTGGTTTACACATCCACATCACTGTTTATCATCAGGACAGGAACTCAACGCAGGAACATGAAGGCACAACCTGATGCAGAGGCCATGGAGGGAGTCCTGCTTTCTTACAGAACTCAAGACCACCAGGCCTCATTCATAATGGGTTGAGCCTTCCTCACCCTATAGGCCTGTCTGATGTTGCTGAGGCATTTTCTCAATGGAGGCTCTCATAAATTCTTTCATGAGTTGATTTCACATGTGGTATCAGTGACAACAGTCCTGGCCCGTAGAAGCAAATCAATCCTAACCTAGACTGACTGCTGGTATAATATGGGTAAGACCCTTCCCTATGATAATTAAGGACATACTGGAGTAGGAGAGTGAACTGCTAGGCTGGGGATTGGAGGGTATGGAATGTGAGAAACTAATCAATGTCTTTCTTGACCCCACCCATTGGAAACTTGGAGGAAACAAATCATTGCAGTAAGTTTAAGTTTTTTAAAGTAACTTTGTAATCGGGACAGTTTTTGTCGTATGGGAACATTTTAAATTTGGAGCAATTCAAACTGTTACAATGAGCTTTCATTCATACACATATTTATGTTGGTACATACGTACATGTAGCTGGATGGAGGATAGATTTAGAGGCAGTGTCACATATTTTAGGCTGGACTTGAACTCCTGATCCTCTGTTAAGAGTTGTATTCAGCAGTGGTGGCGAGGACTTTAATCCCAGCACTTAGGAGACAGAGGCAGGTGGATCTCAGTGAGTTTGAGATCAGCCTGGTCTACAGAGTGAGTTTCAGGAAAACCAGGGCTACAGAGAAACCGTGTCTCAAAAAAGGTTGTATTAATCCCCACCCAAATGGCCTAATCAGTGTTTCAAAGGTAGTCAAATTTTGAGGTTGTCTTTATTTTTCTGTTACTGTGATTAAATATTCTAAAAGCAACTGAAAGAAAAGGTTTATTCTGGCTCTCAGTTTTAGGCTGTAGTTCATCATGGCAAGAAAGCCAGTTGGCAGGAGCTTCAGAGAACAGTCAGAAAAGAGCAATGAAAACATGGCTGAAGAGGCAGTCTCTAGAATTTGGAATCAAATATGGTAGGTGGCAGAAATCAGCAGAAGTAAATGGTCCACATATATAGGAAAGTCAGATCAGCAGCTTGGTTCTGTTAGGAGAGGCTAAATCCCTGGAAGGGAGCTCATATAGGGCCCTCTTGGGTTATGAGCACCTGGTGAATGAAATGAGGACATGACCAGTCCAAGGTATGATTGAGAAGGATTTTATTATAGATATGAAGGAGAATACAGCCATAGCTATTTGTCCTGAGTTTCTTGGGAACCTGACGCCAGTGTTCAGTGAATCCTTGCCTAGGGAATGGTGCTGCTGCCTACAGTGGGTGGGTGGGTCTTCTCACTTCAACATAAGGTGATATGCTATTAAGACTTCTCATATGATTTTAGATGTGCTAAGTTGGTAACGCCATCACAGGTTTTGGAGGTTAAGGTTTCAACATAAATTTGGGGGACATAACTCAGCCTATTAATCTTTTACTACACACAGACACATGCACAAGCGAGTGCGTGAGCACATTTAGGGCTACTTTCTGGAACATAGCTATTTACATTATCATGGGCAACTTTATCAGTGCCTATACGACTGAGGAATATGTCTCCTCTCCCCAAGGAATCATCAACTGCCTACAGACTCTCAGGGAGGGGTGGGGCCCATGAGTCCCTCTTTAATAGATTGTAAACAGACCAAATTTTATGCAGTAATCACAGCTGCTGAGTTCACCAGTGTAGTGACCATGCAGTATTTTTTATTTGTAGATTGAATGTCTTAATGTTTTTGCTTTTGTTTAATGAGACAGGGTCTCTTGTTAGCTACCTTGTAGCTAAAGTTGGCATTAAAGCCCTGACCTTCTAGCTTCTATCTCTAGGTACCAGGATTCCAGGTATGCAAAACCCCACCTCATTTTAACTTTAAAAACTATTTTCATAACTTACAGTTAACTACTGAAGGATTATACTAGTTGGTTTTCAAAGTTAACTTTCAAAAGCTTAGAGCAAGCAGTGATAAAAAGTTTTATGTCTAGAGAAAGAGTACCCAGCTTCACACTGTGTTAAAGAAGTACAGTGAATACTGGCTAACCTAATTACATATGCTCCAACGGTATAAACCATGAGGAAGAGGAGAACAAAACCTTAAGGGCTAGTCTTGGCATTAAACTGTAGCTAACACTGAATGAAAAGGTAGCTGAAGGTAGGGTTTTCTTTTGTTTGAGCAAAGTCCGGTGCAGTGATGGCTGGCATTACCTAGACAAAGATGGACACCACAGAAAAGCACAAGATGGGAAACCAAGCAGGTGGTATGGCAGTGAAAGTGACAAGCAGCTGCCCAGGAAGAAAGCAGATAGAAGGAAGGAACTGTGTCGAACTTGTACTTCACTGCTCCTGGAGAGGGAGGCCCTGTTGGCAGTCTCCATATGGTGACTTTCATTACAGGAGTCATATTTAGCTAAGGTTAAACTGTAGGAACACAGCCTTCTGATTAAGTTCTGTTTTAAGAGGCACATACTGAACTTTGAAAACAGATAAGGTGCATTTGGCTATTTGATTAGAAATATTTATGCTCTTTTAACCTTCTGAGAAACTTTGTAGTTGAAATGAAAACATCCCAGATGTTCCTTGTCGTTAAACTGTTTTAATCTCTACACTAACTTTCCATATTAATTTAATAACACGGATGCAAGTACCCTCCAACAGCAGTAAAGTGTTAATAGGAAAAAATGGACCAATATAAGTTCCTAGTAAGTAAATGAGGAAGTCTAGCCAGTCTGTGGTTTCTGAGATGCTATGGACTGTCTAGGAAGTATGAGAGCCACACCAGGCGTTGGTGGCTCTGCCTTTAATCCCACCATCGAGGAAGAGGCAGGCAGATTCTCCGTGAGGTCAAGGTCAGCCTGGTCTACAAAGTAAGTTCCAGGACTGTTACACAGAGAAACTCTGTGCCATGGCACATGTACTCTCCCTCCAAACTTCATACACAAATGAATAAATAAGCTTTCAAAAGCCACAGGTACAAAAGTACAGGTAGTAGCATGGACAGAGTAAAGATTTAATGATGTATAAATATTTCTCACATATAAGTGAGAAATACCAAAAACATGGGTGATACTGAGTGAAGTACCCTAAGAATTTCCAGCTACAGAAAGGACACAAACAAGTTTGTATATTTTTATCTGGATCTTCTTTGGAGTATAAATGTATACTATAAATTTTGTGCCAACACAAAATTTCACATCTGGTAGGGACATTACCTATCAGATCTAAGCTTTGTCAGATAGGGTTAATGCTTTACCCCTTTGCACAGGTTCTGGCTCCATGGCTCCATGCCTGGAATGCAGTTTTTCTGTTTGAACACTGAAGTCTCAGTCATTGCTGGACTTCTTTCCCTTGAGCTACTTGACAGTCACTGAAAATTAGTACTTAACTTTGGCAATATACTCACACAAGGTGAATGGTCCTAGCTCCCATCTTGCCCTCCTAAGTCTGAAGAAAAGGAAGGCTCTTTGCAAGGTACCTCTTGCTCTATGGGGCTAGAAACCAAGTTTCATCCTTGACTTCATGCTGTAATATAATGCTGTTTGGTTTTCTGGAATTATAGCACCTCCCTGGGTGTGGGTTCTGTGCTCACTGAGGGTGAAACAAGTGGTATATGATAGGTACATATTTGGGTCTCTCCTATTAGCATTGTTCAAATTTTTTTTTAAGATTTATTATTTATTATGTATACAGTGTTCTGTCTGTCTGTATGCTTGCTGGACAGATGGTTGTGAGCCACCATGTGGTTGCTGGGAATTGAACTCAGGACCTCTGGAAGAGCAGTCAGTGCTCTTAACCGCTGAGCCATCTCTCCAGCCCCCCTTTTTTAAATTTTTTTAATATTTATTTATTTATTATGTGTACAATATTCTGCCTGTGTGTATGCCTGCAGGCCAGAAGAGGGCTCCAGACTCCTTTACAGATTGTTTGAGCCACCATGTGGTTGCTGGGAATTGAACTCAGGACCTTTGGAAGAACAGGCAATGTTCTTAACCTCTGAGCCATCTCTCCAGCCCCCTCAAATTTTTTAAAAAAAATATTTTTAGTAGTATGTGTCTGTAAGTACAGGTGCTCAAGGAGGTCATAGTCATTGGGTCCTTCTAGAACTGCTCCACCTAGATACTGGGAAGCCAACCTGGGTCATTTGCAAGAACAGAAGATACTCTTAACTGCTGAGGAACACCTCTTGTGCCTTTGACAGCTAGTTGAGAAGTGATCTGTGATCTGAGCTGTTAAACTGGGTGAGATGTACCTACATTAGTTTTCAGACATCAGTAGGGAAATGGGATTTAAGAAGTGTTGGTGTTGGGCTGCATTTTAAAAGTTGGCATCTAACTACTACAATCTTGAATGTAAGTTTTTATTTAAGAACTCAAAGAGCGGGGCTGGAGAGATGGCTCAGAGGTTAAGAGCATTGCCTACTCTTCCAAAGGTCCTGAGTTCAATTCCCAGCAACCACATGGTGGCTCACAACCATCTGTAATGAGGCCTAGTGCCCTCTTCTGGACTGAAGAAAGAATACTGTATACATAATGAGCAAATAAATAAATATTAAAAAAAAAAAAGAACTCAAAGAGAGATGGTAACAATTTCACAAAAAAATCCAAGAAGGCTTAGTTAAAGTCTCCCAGTGTGTACATGGAAAGCTGGTTTACTTGGCTTTCCATGCATATATACTATTGTAAAATCAAACCAACATTTCTTATCTGCCACCTCCCACTCTGTATATTGTCTAAAAGGCTAAGTACAAATGTCAGTGTAACTCAGGCTTTTATTAGTAATACCAAAGCTGTATTACATTTTTAAGTACAGATACAAGTACATTCAACTTTTAGTTTAGTAAGAGAAAGGAAACAGGAATATAAGGTAACAGATGCAATACATTTTGCAGTGGCTTGTAACTGATGCAGTGTACACGGGTCTAGAATATAGTCATAGCAGGATCACTATTCTCAGCCCCTGACAGGCAGGCAGGCTGGCATGTAACACTTGGTATGGCAGAGGCTTTCTGCTTCAGCTTCTTGGTACTGTAGTGTATTATGCATTTTAAAAGAATATCTCTAAAAGTATAAATAACTCAATTTCATTCATGCCTGCAGAAGCTTTTAGTTTTAAATCTATCTAACAAATATTAACTATGACATTTGCTTTTGAATTTAATAAGTTAAGATCAAATTATCTAAATCAGGAAAGGCAAAAGTTCATTCTCAAGCTTTTAAATAAAAATGTTTAAATTACTGGTAAAGAATTCTTTATAAATAACACTCAACAAGAAAATATTAATACTGATAATCAACACGAAAACAATGTACAATTTTAAGTGAAAGTTTTCCAGGCTATTTCAAATTACTTACAGCGCACACATTCCTGAGTATAGCCCACGACAGTGATACTGTTTATTTCAGAGTTTTTCTCCATTTAGCTTAAAAGGTGTTTCTTCCCGAGAAACTGGACTTTCCTGTCAAATGCACTTGATCGAATAGGAGAATTGGGTTCATAAAATGGATTCATTGCAAACTAGGAAAGAAGAAGGTTATTAGTGAGCCTATTAAGGCAAAGAGGCTCATGAATTACAGGTTGCTAAAGGAAATTTACATTTTCAGTTAAAATTTAGCAAAGACAAAAGTCTGAGTCTCATTTTTAATTCTCATTGAAAGTGTTCTATTGTTTTTTGTTTTTTTTTTAAGAAACAGAATTGGGATTTTAACAGGGAACTTAAATATAGACTGTAATCATGAGGGTTAAGGAGAAAGAGACACCCAGGAAGTAAGGCACACCCAGGGCATTTGTGTGGGCTTCTCAAAGGATGCCCACTGTTAAATTGTAACAACTTAGCCAGGTGTGGGTGCATACCCTTGCAATTTCTGCATCTGGGAGGTGCAGGGGGATCAGGATTCAAGGCTAGCTTTAGCAGCACAGTGAGTTCAGGGCCAGGTAGGGCTACAGGAGACTATCTCAAAAATAAAATGGCTCAGTGCCTAAAGGCAAATTGACAACCAGGCTTCCACCCCCTTGAACTCTCTCCATTATGTACACCATAGCAGGTGCCACCTCTCCCCAGCCCCCACAAATAGGCAAATCAGCAATAATCTTTTAAAAATAACAAAATGCCCCCCTTAAAGAAAAATTTTCTGGGAGACAGTTTCTCATTCTGTAACCTGGCCTGGCCTTGAACTCTAACACTGACTAGCATTAAATTCACTGTAATCCTTCCTGTCCCATAAATCTTGGAATTCAGGTGTAAGCTATCACACCTGCTTGTCTGAGGTAGGGTCAATCCAAAGCAGCCTCAAACTCACCGAATATGTGAGACTAGCTCTGAATTCTTGGTCTTCCTGTTCTACCTCCCAAGTGCTGGGATCATAGACATGCATCACCTTACCTGGCACCTCTTCAGGAATTCTGTGTTCCAGTATTTTTGTTTTGAAAAGTACTCGCAGCTAACCAATGGTAGCATGATTGATATGACCTATATATATTAACATGGATCTTGAATCTACCTTGCATTCATTATGTGGATTAATCTATATGGCCCTTTGCATTGTGTAAACAAATGGTAAATGTCAAATATGTTCAGTTAAAAAAAAGTCTCATTATACTGCTATTAAGCAGAAGTCATTTTTTTCTTTCAAATTCTTGGGTAGCCCAGCCGGCTTCACACTCATGATCTTCTCAAGTGCTGGGATTACAGACATCTGCCGCTATGCCTTATAATTCTTTTAATTTAGGGTTTGAATACTTTGCTTTAACATAAAACTAAAATTCATCAGTTCCCTAGCTAATATAAGGACTTCATAACATATGTTAGAAAACACTAAAGCAGAATTACTAATGATAAAAGAAATGGACTTTTATGCCTTAATCTGGACTGTTTCTAGCCCTATCACTTTAAAAAATCAGATTGTTTTAAATTATAGAGTATACCATACCTTTATATACAAATCATAGACATCAGTAAAGAAGTTCTTTATTCCATCTTCTTGCCTCACATCATGAAGCATAATAAATCTCATATGTGAAAAAATTAAGGCACAATCTTTACTAGAAATGAAAAATTAAAAGCAATCATCTGATAAGATAACCTTCATATTAGTCACATGAACTGTGTTTTGTTATGGCAAAGCTGAATATATAAACTGGCTTAAAGTCAATTTAGCTTAAGGAGAGTGTAATCTTTTAAAGTTAGGAAATAAAGTAAAATAGCCCTTGGTATGGTTCAGATAAACCCTAGTTTTAAAATTATTGGCTGAACATGTTTAAAATAAAATGTCTTATAAGTGAAAAATTTTCATGGCAGCCTGATTCTTACAAGTCTTCAAATTCGGAGATTGCCTTTACGTTTCAAGTTTTTGTTTTCTAACTAAGCCTTTGGCTAAGTATTTGTGTAATGTCTGAGGGGCATTTTCTTAACTGCTAACTGATGTAGAAGGGCTGAGTCCATTGTAGGCAGTACCATCCATAAGCAGGTAGGTCTAGGTTGTATAAGTAAGGTAGATGAACATAAGCCTGAGCAAGCCCAGCATTCGGTATTCTATGGTCTCTGCTTCAGTTCCTGCCCAGACTTCCCTCAACAATGGAGTGTAATTTGAGAAGTACAAGTTAAATAAACCCTTTCCTCTTGAAGTTGGTTTTGATCATGATGTTTATAATAGCAACAGAAAGCAAACTACAGCATAAGGAAAGGATATGTCCTGCAGTGACAAATGCTGATACAAACCACTCATTGAATTTGTCCACAGTTTTTAAGTACATGTTATTAGAAAGCCACATGTTTTCATCCACAAGGTCAAGAGCAGCATGGGCTATAAACTGGTTCAGATGACGGTGATCATCCTAAATGACAGAGAAAGGAGAAAGATGTACATTTCCATATGGCATCGGTTCCACAGATAATTCATTCTGAAATTCTGTCAATCTGTGTGTGTTGTGTGTGTTTTCTCTTGTTTTAGATAAGGCCTTACTATGTATCCTAGAATGGGGTTCCTAAACCTGCCTCAGCCTCCCAGGTGCTAGGAGTACAGGTGTAATGCCTGATTTTCATTCTGTACATACATACTTTTCTTAGGGGAGGAGTCTTAGCATTTACTACATGTACTGGTATCATGAGATATAAAGGATTATGTTTTTATCATCTTGATATCTATCACTCATAGCAGGAATAGCTAATTAATAAAGTCTTCAAGAAACTATTAAACATTATATTTTGAATGCTGGGAGAAGGCAATTACCAGATTCTATAACTAATTAATCATATGTAAAGAGACTACTACTTTTAGGGAGAAAATAGGGCAGAGCCTACTTTCCAGAAGCCCATATCTTATTAGAAGAGAAACACACAAAGTGAGTGTATGCAGATGTGGATTCAAGAGGGCACTTTTCCTAGCTCAAAACAGATGTCAAGGAAAGCTGCAAAGGGATGCCATGCATATGGGGCCTCAAGGGCTAGAGGCAACAAGGAGAGCCAGGCTTCCTGAGCAGAAACAGTAGAGACAATTGTAAGACCTATGATAGGCCTCTTGCAGAACATGAGCTTACATGGTTTGGGGATATGGGATAGGGTAGGGTGGGGTGGGGAGGTCATATTCAGCCTTAGCTGGGAATTGTCATCTGTTAACAGCAGAAACAATCCTATCACAACCATGAGTGTTCTCTTCATGGGCAAAATGGCCTAACTGACAAGAAGGTAGGAATGACTTACTATAATGTAGAGAACATTCCCAACCTGGATGTAGTCTTACTCCTATAGGATTCTCTTTCATAGTGCTTTTCTCAAAAAACTACCTGCTGTGAAATAGACTATATAGTATAGAGCAGCAGTTCTCAACCTGAACAGCCCCTTCACAGGGGTCTTCTAAGATCATCTGCATATCAGATATTTACATTATGACTCATAACAGTAGCAAAATGAAAGTTATGATGTAGCAATGAAATAGTTTTATGGCTGGGGGTCACCACAACTTGAGGAACTGTATTAAAGGGTGGCAGCATTAGGAAAGCTGAGAGCCACTGCTAGTCTTTCCTTGAGGAAACTCATATGGTCCTCAGAATGTGACCTTACTTAGAAAGAGGGTCACTGCAGATGTGGTTAGTTAACATGAGGTCATTCTAGAGTAGAGTGGGCCTCTAGTACAGTGTTCTTGATGTCCTTGGAAAAAGTTTCGCTCTGTGTGATGCCTTAAACCTGTAATCTCAGCATGAAGGAGGCTGAGGACAGAGAATCATCCATCAATTGGAGGCCAGTTGGAGATGCTTTAAGAAGGTGATGGTAGCCAAAGAGAGTGCTAAGACCAAGTCAAGTTAGAAAGTGTTTCCGTGTGCTGCTACCCAATAGGTCTGTGGAGTACACAGAAACTACATCTAAGTGGCAACTGGCACAGAGCAATTGCTGCCACTGCCTCAAAACAAAGCTTTGAAATAACATAGGACCGATAACTGGCAGAAAATACCAAAAACAAATTTCTCTGGTATTTTGTTGGCACAATTTGAATAGTTGAAAACTATCTCCTACTTAAGATTGCAATATACACATATATATGACTTAAAAAAAAAACAACTCCTTGGCTTACTCTGAATGATGGGCATCATGTTCTTGAATCAAGTTTGTTCCTCTGGAACCATTCCCACAAGAAAGTGTCACCCCTGCTGTTGCTTTTAGAGTTTCCTGATATAGCCTGGGTACCAGCAGGATGGGGACAATGTAAGCAGTATTGCAGAAGTCACTGATAAGAAGTGCTATTGTCCCAACGATGGAAGGACAGCACATGGCAGTCAGGTTTTTTACAGTCCTCAGGTGTAAATTGATCTATGTCTGTTCTGCTGAAAAATAAGATTTGCTGTTGAATGGACTACTGTGACATTTTGAGGCAACAAAATTGCTCCAGGCCCCCGACAGGTGGGGTACATTTCCTTATGCTTAAGAAGCATTTCATAGTGGGCGACATTCCTTCCCTAGCTGGTTTCTAACAGTCTGTAGGACTCCAGAGAAAGTCTTATTTAATTGTTGCTCTATTTCAGTGGCTTCATCTGTCTAGATCTATTTCAGTTCTAAAACACTATTATGTCTTACCAATATAAACAACATAAAAATTCTTATGAAATTTAGATTGCATACGTACTTTGGATTCTGCTTTCCCAGGTGGCAAAAATTCCATTTCAAAAACTGGATTATCATGGTGGCCAACAATTACAAAGTAGAAGCTTCCAGACATTGTCTTCAATAGAAAAAACTCCTAATCAAATTAAATAATATTTTTAGTTCTCAATACCGAGACCTAAAATGATTAACATAAAGTACAGAGTTCTAGTTTTCTTTTTTTTTCCGAGACAGGGTTTGTCTATATAACAGCTCTGGCTGTCCTGGAACTCACTCTGTAGGCCAGGATAGCCTTATATTCACAGAGATCTGCCTGCATCTGCCTCCCAAGTGCTGGGATTAAAAGCGTGCACCATCACCGCCCAGCTTACTTTAAAAAAAAAAAAAGTTTTCTTCCTTAAATTTGACAACATGGTCCGCTTTCTGGTATATATACAGGCACATGACTTTCTACACATTAAATATCTGTGATGTGTCCTTTAGAACCCAATGTACTGTGTACTGTATCTTCTGAAGGAAAACAGAAAACCTGTAGTGTATCCTAAGTATTCTCATGATTGAAAAAATTGAAATATTCAACTCAAGGGTCTTTGTATCTGATGGAGTATGTTGAGCTTAAGTTGTACTATACTGGTTAATGTTCATATTAACACCTGGAGACACTAATATAGGTTGTTGATTAGCTAAGTACAATAAAAAGTAGAAAAGGTAAAGGAAATAATTAGCTGCCCCAGAAATGTTCAGGAGATACCCCTCAGAGGAAGCTAAAATCTAGCTATACCACAGACCATTTTTATATAGAAGAGATAATGTACCATCTATTCACAAATTATACAGTTTATTTGTCTTCTTTCTATCAAATTAAATAGCAAGGGCCTATGTGTCTCTTCATACACTAATTTAAGAAACAGTTTACTTGGTATGGTAGACAGCCTTTTCAATTCCAGCACTCAGTAGGCAGAGGCAGGTAAATCTCTGTGATTTCCAGGCCAGGCTGGTCTTTATAGCAAGTTCCAGACAGCCAGAGCTACATAACAGAGAGAGACTATCTCAAAACAAAAACAAACAAAACTAAGAGAAACTGGGGTAGGGTGGGCAGAAACCAAGTATACCATGGTTTTACATAAAAAATTTACATTTATTTATTTTGTGTGTGTGTTTATGTGTGTGTGTGTGTGTGCGCGCGCGCGCATGCGCGCACATGCCATGACTTGCATTTCTGTGGGAGTCAGTCATCTCTCTCCATGAGTCCCAGGGATTAAACTCAGGTTGTCAGGTTTGGTGGCAAGTGACTGCACCAGCTCTATTCCATGGCTTTCAACAGAAATCAAAAAGCTGGGTTGGTAGATGGGTGGATCTTAGTATGTTTGTACTTTCAGTACAAGGGCTTTGGATTTAGAGAAAGCCAGGCTCTGACTCTTACTTGCAATGTGACCACAGGTGCCAGCTTAATCTCCGTCTGTTGCCTCATCTATACAACAGTGGTAACATTGGAGCTACTTTACTGCTACTTGTAGGAAGCTTCCTACATAGCCCAACATATGTAAAGCATGAAATTCTAAAGGAGGATGTCTAGCAAACAATGAGTGCTTGTTAAGTGTTATCTAGAATAACATGGAAGAATATTTGACAACACTGGGATGTGACAACTAGTCACTCCTCAACGTGGGGTGGGGATCTAGTCAACCCTTAGTCAGCCTCCTGGATATCTGAGGACATGAGAGCTCACAACTCACCAAGACTCTCTGGGTCTTTTGCTGATTCACACAGAAAAAATATCAATGAAATCCAAAGAAATCTGAAACGTGTTTCCTAGTGAAGGAAAAAGCAAGTCAAAGTTAGTACTTTTAATGGAAGGCTACAATTGTAGGAGACATGTAAGAGACTCTTTGGACACAATTAAGATTTAGAACAGTATCTGGGACAGGGGCCTACACCTGCAGATTGCAGGCCAAAATTTAACCTCATGCATCCTTTTACTATGGTCTAAAATCTGCTTTTGCCCTTCAGTGGAAGAGCTGAACATCGGCAACAGAGACTATCTAGCACACACAGCCAAAAGTATTCAGTCCTTTCCAGAAAAAGCTGCTTGTTTTTATAAGAAAGATAAGAAAAGGGTCCAAAAATAAAAGTGGGTAACAAAGATAAGCAGATCTGACAGAAAAGGTATGCAAAGCTAGGGATACTTGGTAATAACTGAAGAGAAAAGGAAAGGAAAGAGAACTTGGAATTTGAACCAAGTAAACAATGGTAGCATGAATTCTTGCTAGAATAGGCTGCAAGGCTGCAGGTCTGCAGTAGGTCAAGTGAGGGATTTGCTTTGCTCAGCACACATATTTTTAAGCAGCAAGAGCATAGGAGGGGGCCTGCAGGCAGCAGAAGGAAGTGCATGCACAAGAAAGATAACCCACATCATGCCCCACACTTGGTCCTTTATGGGATGTGCAGATGCTAAAGAAGCATAATGTCTAAGGGTAGAATGAGATAAAAATAGGAACCAAAAGACAGACATGAGGGTTCTCTTACAATTTATCCATCTGGGCAGTAAGACGGAGCTTCTTTCCCTTGGAACATATTAACTGCACAAAACAATGGCTTTCCTAGGACATCCTCATGCGTGCACAATGCACTTCAATCATCCCCACTTCCTCACCACCCTCTCATTGCTTCCTTTTTACTAATATGCTCTCTCAAATAGTTCCCACTTCTACTTTTATGTGAAAATGTTATTCAACCTAGATCCCATACGTAAGAGAAAGCACGCAGCATCCAGACACACCTACAACCTTTGAGCAATTATTCTCAGGCTTACCTCACACTGGATAAAGGTGTCACTGGGCAAAAGTGACACACACCTTTGTTGTCCACACTAATGAACTTTCTGCCAAGGTAAAAATGCTGTACAACCATATAGTCTAATATGGAAGCCAGTAAGCATTTGAAACGTAGCTAACTTAACTGCAGAACTGAATTTTTAATTTATTGGTTTGAACTAAGTATCTGTGTGGGGCTAACACTTCTAATACAGAATAGCTCAACTTTAGATCAACTATTCTAAACTTTATAAAAATTCTGCACCTTCTCAACCGACAAAACAAGTACTGCTATTTAGAATTCCAACATATAAAACAATACAAGCTGTCTCATGCCTGTTTCCCCAGCACTTGGGAGGCTGGAGCAGGAGGGCCACTGTGGCTCTGAGGCCAGCCTGTGTTGACCAATGCATGTGTCTGCTCCTTTTCTTTTTTCCTTTATTTTTTTTGAAAAAGATTTATTTATTTATTATGTATACAGTGTTCTGGCATGTATTGTAAGCTACCATGTGGTTGCTGGGAATTGAACTCAGGACCCTGGAAGAGTAGTCAGTGCTCTTAACCTCTGAGCCATCTCTCCGGCACCCCTCCTCCCCTCGGTGTATGCTCCTTTTCTTCAATGTCCTGGAGACCCCTGAAGCTGACCTCAAATACAGAGATTAAGCCGGACACTGCAATCCTGGCACTGGAGAAGCTAAGACAGGCAGATCAAAGCCAGCAGAAAAGAGCAAAATCAAAAAAGAACCAAAACCAGGCAGTGGTGGCACACACTATTAATCCCAGCACTTGAGAGGCAAAGGCTGGTGAATCTCCGTGAGTTCAAGGCCAGCCTGGTCTACACAGCAAGTTCCAGGACAGCCAGGACTGTTACAGAGAGAAATCCTGTCTCGAAATATTAAAACCAAAACCAACCAAAAGAACTAAAGTGTGTGAAATATGTTAAGAGAAGCAAATGCTTTGTAGGTTACCACTAGGAAAAGCAGGGCTTCTAGCACTGTATACACCAAAATAACTGAAGATGAAAATCTGCTTAATTTCTATTTTCTCTTTTACAAAGCATGACTTCTCAGTAACAAGCCAGGCTGAGCAGGATGCAAACTTCAAGACTGCATATTAGACATTTCTAGGTCTTTCAATTCAAACAAGTCTTCAGGTCCTGGCAAATTATATAGCTTGGAGCAACAAATCTACATCTATTGTCACATGGCATTAAAGAAAACATAGGCACAGAAAGGCTCTATATGCTAAGAGATAGGTAAATGTTATTTTTATTTTCAAAAACAGGCAAAAGTGTTATGTCATTAGCTATAACCGGGTATATCCAGAGACGAAAACACCAACACAAATAGGTATTGCCTGGTTGGTTTTGGTCAGATACCATGCCAGGACCCTTTTCTGTACAGTATCTCATTCAGTATAAATTAAAAAAATGAAACAAAAAACCACCACCACTAAAACGAGTTATTATTCATGAACATTCTCTGCTTAAACTAAGAACAAACCACATCAAACTATTCTGCTTTGCAAAGGAAATGTAGCAGGTGGGTAGCAAACTTTCTGGGTTATTTTAGTATCTACGTGTGAACGCACTGGAGACCTATAGCCTGGGTGATAGAAAGGCACCTTCACACAGTTCTTATTCTCCATGGTATCCTCAGGGTTACAACAGTGCCAAAGGGCCAGCAAGCACTCATTATTTACTGAATAAGGGGTGACTTACAGATGACTTAGCATTAATACCCAGGAACACTGAGTGTCTATGCCAATTTATGGTACAATGTCTCCAGGGAGATTTCAAGACTGACCTTAACCTAGTCCACATAGGCATTTGGACCAATAGGGTTTTATTTTATTTTTAATTTTGGAGACAGGATCTTACTGTGGCCCAGGTCGGCTCTGAACTCATGATCCTCTTGTTTCAGTGTCCTGAGTGCTCAGATGGTAGGCCTGACCTATCATGCCTGGCACTTATTCAGTAACTTGAAGGTAACTTACCACATTCAAACACAAGACAGCTATTATGAGCTTATTAGCAGGTAATTAAGGAATAAAAGAGATTTCCACTTCTGGGTGTGGTGGCATATACCTTTGATCCTAGCACTTGGGAGTCAGACACAGGTGGAGCTCTGTGAGTTTAAGCAATTACAGCATCCACATGAGACTGAGGACAGCCAGGACTACATAGAGAGACCTTGTTTCAAAGTGAGGGGTTAGGATGGGGGCAGAAACCTAATCAGATGGTATGACTGCCAGGAGTTGGTGCTGAGAAACAGTGTGGTCAGCAGTGAATGACTGGGATCAATTATTCATGGCAGCTATGGGTTTAGGGGAGTACAGAACGTTCATGAGGCCAAGCATTTGCTAACTCTGGACTTGACAGACTTATTCTAAATGGCTCTAGAGGACAAACACAGAGCTGTCATCTGAAGTTAGTAGGACGTTAAAATTCATGATGGTGTTAGACCGCCAGTGCAAGCGGGAGGATGAACTTAGAAATCCTTTCCAAGTTAAGCATTTTAAGTTACAGGTAATACAGATAAAACTTGCACCCCTCAGTTCAAAGCCATCCATTTTTTTTATAGCAAATCTCTCTACAGTCTCTGGAGGAACCTCTAGAAACTTACCTGTGCTCGTGACAACAGTAGCTTCATTTGTTCCACAAATGAATAAAGGCTGTAAAACTAAACTGGTGTTGCATGGAACATGTCTGGTGCAATGAGGAGCTATATGAACACTACTGACAGATCTCCAATGCGAAAATGGCCCTATAAAGTCAGAAGCAATGCCCTCATTCCCAAGTGAGTTTATGTTGACTTTTAGAGACCACTAAATCTACTTCTTTTTAATTTTGGGATCAAAGACAGGGGTGAAGAGCTCAAATATCTTTGGGCACTGATGCTATTTTAAAACAGTGTTTGTAACACATCAGCATCATTTTAGAACATACTTCACTATTCTGCTCAAAAGCTTTAATGCCTTTCAGTTATGTAACCATGCACCAGTATTCAACATGGGTCCTCCTCCTGCATTGTTCCCTATGTCGCTCCTCAATCCTATTGTTACCTCTGCTGGAGTGGACCAGTCTACTTACTTCAAACTCACTTTGACTATATCCACTCAGGACTCTTCTTCACGCTTAAATGCTGTCCCTAATTCTGTGCGTATCCTTAATTGATTCTTTACACTCCAACTTCTTCAATTGTCCAAAGCAAACAAACAAAAACCTGAAAAACAAACAAAAAAACCAAACCTCGTTCAACTCCAATAAAGCCCGATAACTATTTTTGTCACCCCTCAACTTTTTTTTTTAACAGCTACACATCAAAACTCATTGTACTCCTTTGTGCTGTTAGCTTTAACAATGATCCAATTGCATCTTCATAGACCTTAGCTACCTAACATCCCCAACACACAACTCAGGGCCAGGCTAGAAGCTCCAGGGCTCCAGGTGAGCCCTGGCATTAGTCTTCTGCCTATTCCCCCCTTCCTGTGATGCCCATCTTTTCTTATTCACTATCCAAATGCTATCAGTCAAGGCACTGAAAAAAAAAATCACACTTTCCCCATAGAGACGTCCTCAATCACTTCCACCTGCAATCAGCTTTCGTGCTAAACTATCCAGTCCACAAGACTTCTTAGTCATCATTTAGTTCACTGGCTGCAATGGTTTTCACTCTTGCTTCTGGGGATTCTGGTTCTTCTTTCCAATTAGCCTTCTTTCTTTTCTTTTTTTTTTTTTTTTTGATAACGGGTCTCATTTATGCCAGACTGGTGTCCAACTCTCTATGTAGTGAAGGATAATCTTAAACTTCTGATCCTTCTGCCTCCACCAATACTGTGGTTTTTGTTTTTCAATGCAGTGCCTGGAATTTAATCCAGGCCTCTGTGTACGACAAGCAAGTACTTAACCAACTGAGCTACATTCCCCAGTCGCAGATTTACATTTTCTTCTTTAGGCACGTCATAGCCCAAACTGACCTCGAACTTTAAGCAACACTCCCGTCTCAGTCTTCCCAGTGTTGGCATTACAGACGAGCCACCACGACTGGATCTTTATAATCTGAGCTAGGCATCCTGGGCACTCGGCTCATCTTTATCTTTCTCACAGCACATACACAATGTTTTTTTTTTCCTATAAAATTAAACTCTGTGGTTCTCAACAAGATGCGATTTTTGCTTCTGAGAGTATCTGTCAAGAGCCCGGAGGAGACACGTGTGTGCGGAGACAGGGTACTACTGGCATTTCATGGGAACAGACCACTGTAGTGGCACTGCAGCATAGACACACTGGATTAACTGACTGACCTCGAGAACGCCAAGCCTTCCAGAGCGCGGAGGTCGTTTCCACGTGGAAACCGGGGCTGTGTCTACTGGGAGAATTGTAATTAAGCGGCCCCCGGGGGCTGGCTCTGACGTTCCGAGTCAGGGCAGGATAGAGGTACAAGACCAACCTCCGCCTCATGCAGGGTCTGGGACGTCCCTCCCACTTCCCTCCAAGTCCTACCTGTAGGGAGACGCCAACAACAGAAACGCCCGCCTTGGAAACCAGCGCTTGGTACTTTCAGCCGGGGAACCCAGAGTCACTCACGCGAGATCTGGGGCCATGCTCTCGCGAGATGTGGCGGGAGCGTCCGGCCTGAGATCGCGCGTGCGTGACAGTGCTCCAGGCCGTGGTGGCGGGTCCGTTTGGCCGGTACTTTGGGCCGACTGACAGGGAGAGAGCGGCGTTGGCGTTAGCTATCGAGCACTGAAAACGGTCTTTTGAGGGGCCGCTTCTGGTCTCCGTCTTTCTCTGGTCCAGGGTCCCTCTTGGGTCACGGCCCCGCCCACCCTTTCGCCCTGCGGGAGGAAGTGCGCCTGCGTGCGGGAGTAATGGGCTGAGTGTTCAGCTCCCTTGTTCCTCCCGGTCCCCAGAGACAGGCTGGTCTCAGAGATCAGGGGCTCCCTCTCCACCCGCCGCCTGCCCTGACCACGGAGCCTGGCCGTAGAGGGGCGAGCTCGGGAGGAAGCAGATAACGATGGCTCAGGTAGTTCCAGCTGCCACTTCCCAGGGGTCTGTAAGAAAGGAAGTCCCTTGTTTCTGTTCGTTAGAGCTCCGTTAAGCATCTAAGGGCTTTCCGGGAGGCCACTGGTCTGATTTCTGAAATCCAGGTCTCCTTTGCCGCTAGGTAACTCATCATTTTCTCTTCCAGTCCGCCATGTCCCTCAAGTGTGATGTGTTGAGTCAAGATGAACTGCGCAAAAAGCTATACCAGACGTTTAAGGATCGGGGTATACTGGACACACTTAAGGTATCAGATTTAGGCATGGCTGTCCTTAGTTTCTTTACAAGTGTAACCTCTGATAGTAGGTAGTTCCACATTTAAATTCAGCCAGGGCTTGGATTCCCAAATCACTAAAATATAGATTGTATCGGTGAGCTATATTTTGAAAATGTTGAGTTTCAGTCGTCTTAAAGAACATATAATAGATTTATTGAACCGACATTAAGGTAGCACATAGCATGTATATAGTGAAAACATTGTACTAAAGCTAAGGTGCTGTTACAAATCTTGTTTACAATCTAGATTTGACCCTGTTACGTATATGTAATAAAAGCAGAAGGGGGGCAATTGTGCGGACAGGACAGGGTGGGGAGGGTGACGGGAAGGTGAATATGAGCAGAGCACAACAGCATACATGTATGAAAACATCAAAATGAAACCTGTTATTTCTTTGCTAACTAAAAAACAATAAACCCCGTAGATGTACACTTTTCAGAGTTAATAGGTCGTTTGAGAGTCTCTTTGGATGACACTACATAGACAATATGAAGTTACTGCTTACTGTGTAACAGTTTTGAGAAATGGAATTTTTTAAATGTACACTGGAATGGTAGCAGGTGTGTTGCATGCCTTTCTTTAATCCCAGCACTTGGGAAGCAGAGGCAGGCACATCTCTGTGTTTGAGGGCAGCCTCGTCCAACTAGCCAGTTCCAGGTCAGTCACGACTGTGGAGTCAAACCCTGTGTCAATAATAGTAAATAAAAATAGAATATATTAGAGTGTGAAAATTTACTGTGAATAGCAAATATGTACTAGTGCACCTTAAATTTGGGTGACAGCAAGGTATGGAATTAGTTGAGGTTAGTTCAATGTGTTTCATTACAATATGCCTTTCAGAAATATATTTTGCATTTAGAATTGGAAATTAAGGAAGGGTGAGCCTGATTTTTTTCCGCTCTTATTGTTTTATTAACTTCATAAAATATGTAAGACTTGTCTAGAAAATACAAAGAAAGCAGAAGGGAGAATCATCTTTGATAACCACAAACTGGTATAAGGTGTATGTATCATTTTAAAATTTACATTATATGACGAGTCTTTCCCTGTTTGCTCAAGCTGCTTGAAATCCTTGTTTTTAGAGGCAACATATTCATCCTGGTTAGTCAGACGTCACATAGGTAACTTTCTACTATTGAATGCTTAGCTTCTGCTAAAGTCTACACATGATCTACTGTGCCTGTCATTTTCTGTCTAGCATAGGGAAATTCCCTTTCTGAGAAAGAGGCATGAGTAGGTTTTGGCTGGTTTGCAGTGTTCTGCCCCCCCTCTTGAATGCTGGGATTACAGGCCAGTGCCATTATGCCCTGGGGTATGAACATTTTTACCAGTGTATCTGTTTGGGTCTGAAATGGTTTTTACAGTTTATATTTCACAAGCAGTTTGGTAATATATTTCAGTGTTGCCCTGACACCTTTTAACAGTGTAACATTGAAAAAAACTCTCATTGCTTCGATCATTTCTTTGACTATTAAGTTCATTGTACTTTTCTGACCGTTTATATCTGTTTTTCCATGAGAATGGTTAGGGTGATAGTATTTTAAGAGCTCTCTTAATAGAAGCTATTGATTTGTGTTCTATTATTATTTAAAAATATTGATGTCTAATTTTTATATAGTCAAACTAAATTTTTTTATTCTCACGTCATTGAATTGTAGAATGAGCAGTGGGCTGCTTTTTGTCCCATCCGGCTCCTGGCCGCCTGGCTAGCTTTACCCGAAATAATTACACGGAAACTATATTCTTTTAAACACTGCCTGGCCTATTATATCTAGCCTCTTATTGGCTAACTCTTACATATTGATTCAACCCATCTCTAATAATCTGTATGTCACCATGAGCGCGTGGCTTACCGGGAAAGATTCAGCATGTCTGACCTGGCAGCTTCATGGCGGCGACTCTCTTAACCCTGCTTTCTTCCTCCCAGAATTCAGTTATGTCTTCCCTGCCTACCTCTGTTCTGACCTATCAGGCCAGGCAGTTTTCTTTATTAATTAACCAATGAAAGCAACAGATAGAAGACTCTCCTACATCATTGAATGATTATTTACTTTTGGGGATGTGTGCCCTTGTGTGCTCTGGCTCCTGTGTATGTAGTTGCATATGTGTGTGTGCATATTTGTCTTTATGAGCCAACCATCTTGTGTTTTGTGATCAAAGATCACTGATAAGGGTAGGCTGGTTGGCTATTGAGGTGAATAAGGACAGGTGTCCTCCTGTCTTCATCTCCCAGGGGCTGGGAATACAAACATTCACCACCATGCCTAGCTTTTTATATGCATGCTAGGGATTGAACTCTGCTTCTTATGTTTGCACAGCAAGTATTTTAGCAACTGAGCCCTCTCCCCAGCTCTCTTATTTGAAATGTTAGAAAGGCTTTATCTTTTGTCATCAACTCACTAATCCATTAGTGATACTGGTTTAAACCACCTGGATTGATTGCATTTTATTAATCTAGAATACAGAAGAATCTTTTCATTCCTGATTATGTCACATTGCAGATTAGACTTGATAGTCCTTTACCTCACATCTCAATTTTATTTGGTATTGACCAATGGATGTCTTTGTCTGTAGCCGTTTTGTGCTAGCCTTGTTCACTTCACAGCTATAGCATGGCTGGCTATTCATTGTCTTTTTAGCCCAACTGGATGACAAGAAGGGCAGAATTTCATTTTCTCAAACTTAGCTAATTTTTACTTCTAAATTCAATGACTGATATAGATTAAGCTACAACTTTTAAATTTTATAGAATTTTTAGTGGCTTAGTTTATATTGTTTTATTATTTGATATGAATTTGTATTTATGGTCACTTACAAAGTCATTTAGGTATAGGGTGTTTTTGTTTATTTTGTGGTTTTTGTCATAATTTGTGGTTTTTTGAGACAGTGTCTCACTATCCTGCCTCAAACTCACGGTGATCTTCCTGCCCTAACCTTTCTAGTGTTAGGATTACAGACATCTTCTACTACATCCAGTTTAGGTATATATTAAATAAAACTTGTCAAATCATTTGTTTATATTGGTGTAGTTAATTCATTTCTGAGATGTGTGTGCCAATTCTTTTCTCTTGTACTCTGAGTTTCCCTCCCATTCTGTGAAAACTGCCCTTTCATACTACTATATATTTTTAAGATTTATTTTATATATGTCTGCCTGAGTGTGTGTGCTTGTACATGTGTGTGTGTTTGTATATGCAGGCAGGCCCAAACAGGCTGTCTGATCCCTTGTGTTGGCAGAACACCCAGGTGGCTTGCTGTATAAATACTAGAATCTAAACTTCAATCCCCATGATTATATAACAGATACTTTTAACTACTTTTTTTTCGAGATAGGGTTTTTGTAGCCCAGATTGGTCTTGAACTATTACATTTTATTAATCTATAATACAGAAGAATCTTTTCATTTCTGATTATGTCACATTGAGCCAAGGATGACCTTGAATTTCACAGTTTATTTGAATCATAAACTGCCACAATCCACAGTTGAGATGAAGTGACAGAATTTTCCACATGGCTTAATTTCTTCATCATGAGCAGCTGAAATTGCTTTTAGAGATGTCAAATTATGGTCTATGGAGAGTGGGTGTGGGAGCTGGGGAAAGAAAGTTTTTGCTCACGCCCACTGAGGGATAAGATAAATTGTGAAAGAAGTGCTTCCTACTTCTGCCCATGGATCTAGATTCATTTTGAAAATAAAATAATTCAATTAATGTGGCAGATCTGTCTGTATTTCTATTCTGGTAAAATGTATCTCCTTTTGTCTTTTTTTTTTTCTGTTTCACACTAGACACAACTCCGAAACCAGCTAATTCATGAATTGATGCATCCTGTATTGAGTGGAGAAGTGAAGCCTCCATCCATTTCAGTGGAAGGGAGTGCCCTCCTAATAGGCGCTTCTAACTCTCTGGTGGCAGATCACTTACAAAGATGTGGCTATGAATATTCACTTTCTGTTTTCTTT